GAGGGGAGGGAAAGGGAGAGGGACCTGGAACTGACTTGTGAAGCAACCTTGTTTCTTATCTAAATTTAAACTGAAAAATAAATTAAAAAAAAAAAAAGATGTATGTGTGTTCTGTATGTATGGTGTGGCCACACTAGTATGTATAAGACGTGACTGTGAATTCACGAATGTTGACAAAGGAACTGCTTGAATTGCTTTGGATACAGTTAAGAAGCTACCTAAATTGCTTTGAATATAGCCAAAAAGAACATCCAGTCAGTCAATGTCTTAACAGGAAAGGCTGGCGATTTGAGTCCTCAGAGCCAGCCACTGGAAAAATAACAGAAGCCTACAACATGGCCTGAATGCCAAAGAAATTTGTATGGATGATTCTATAGAGTTTAACAGAGGAGAGGATACAGAAATTCTAAATTTGTATGGGTGGAAAAAAAGGGGGGTTTTGAGAAGAAGAACTGCTACCCTGTTAGATCCTACCTATAGGAGTTAATGTAGATACAAATTAGGCCATCTCAGCTGAGATACAAATGAGGCCATCTCAGCTAAGATACCAAATGAGGCCTTGTCAGCTATAGAGAGCTTTACATACTGAATTACAAACTGAATCAGAAAAAGAGTACTCACAAATTTCAAGTATTTTCAAAAGTTATTTCGGACATAGTATAGTTTGCAATCTTTGAGTGATTTTCAGAAGTTGTTGGGAAATATTCAATGGTTACATCCTTTTTTAAGGGTATCTACTGGTGATTTAGATAGTTCATCTAAGCAGTTCATCTAAGCAGTTAACTAAGGAGGGTAGACAAATTCTACTACTATTAGAGTGTAGTCCAGCATCAACAGATGTTAGCAAACAGTTCAAACAAAATTGGCCACTTTATCTCAGGTAGAGAGATCCCTGCAGTCTCATAACTTTCATCAGAAAGCAATTTGGTTTAACTAGAGAGAGTGCTTGTCAAAATTGTCAAACAATGAGGTGTGCCCACAATATTTATCTGTAACTAATTTAAAAATGAACCCTGGAGGCCTACTTCCTAATCATTTATGGCAAATGATTGTTACTCATATTTGGCAGGTTAAAATATATGTACATGGCAATTGATAGGTATTCAAGTTTCTTGACGGCCACTACGCGAATGGGAAAAGCCACCAATCGTGATAAGTCATTGTTTAAAAAATGTTTTGCTTACATGGGAGTTCCAAAAATGAAAACTGATCACAAAACAGATACTCCTTATAAGCCTCAAGGGCAAGGAATTATGGCGCATGCTCATAGCTCCTTGAAAACGTTAACTTCAAAAGATAAAACAAAGGTGGGGGGAGTAATGTCCCCAGACCCCACATGATTCATCAAATCGTGCACTCCTCATTTTAAATTTTGTAAATGTGGATGCCAGTGAGCAATCTACTGCAGACAGATTCTGGCATGATGGAACTCGAGTGACTTTTGCCCAGGTCAAATGGAGACATCCATGCACTAGACAGTGGAGAAGACCCGATTCTGCCCTAATTTGGGGTGGAGGGCATGTTTGTGTTTTCTTGCAGGAAAAGAATAAAGCTCCGTGGCTGCCAGAACATTTGGTGAGATGCATGGAGCAGAGAAAAACTGGACTTGAGACCAAGGGAGCCTGCCCAAGCCAGTTCGAATGAGATCTCCTGAAGCAGTGTTCCTGACCCTTGATGCCAAGAAATCCACAGCCCGAGAAAAAAAAAGGAAACAGTCGGTTTGAGATTTCCAGTTTCTCAACAGGCCTGCTGCATCAGCCTCCTGGACCTGTGAGTTTTCATCCCAGAGCCAACAAAGAACTGGAAGATTAACAGTTTGCCCTTGACACACATTGAAACACAGAATTCACTTTGCCAGTTTTTCCCTTTGGAGAAAAATGGACCCATTTAAAGCCGGGCATTGGTGGTGTACTCCTTTAATCCCACTGACATCAACATCTAGCATGAGGAAAACATATCTCTTCCACCTGGGGTTTTTCCACTGTGCTGTAAGCCTGTATATAAGGCTGCTCCCTCTCTGCAATAGAGAGACCTCAGTGCAAATGACCAAACGTCTTGACTTTCAGTTCAGTCTCCAGGCTTGCAATATATTAGAATTGCTCGTGAACACCATGGGGGAAGCAAGGAGGCAGAGCCCAGAGAGACTGAAGCTCTGGAGATGGGGTTTGGCAAACTCATTCTGGAAAGGACCTTGTGGGAATTTTTATTATTTTTTTTTAGGATTCTCCAGCCAAGCAGTGTCTGCCACAGCCACCCACAATTGCCACTGGAGCAGGAAGGCAGCCACGGATGGCATCAAATGAGACTGAAATGAATGAACAGCAGGGCTGGGTTCCAGTGGACTTCATTTATGCACACTTATCACATTTTTTTACATGCCATTAACTAGCATTCTTCTTTCCACTTTTTTCCAACCACTTAATAAAGGTAAATCCATTTTTAGCTCAGGGACTAAGCAGAAACAGGCAACAGGTCAGACTTGCCCCTAGAGCAGAAGTGCCAACCCTTGGTCTCAGTCTCTTGCACACCCTGCAAGTCTCTGACAGAGAGGCAGAGACACCTCATTGCCTGGTAAACACTCTTCATTGCCTGGTAGACGCTCAATGAACTGCAGGGCCTCAGGCCACCTTGACGGCTTGACAGGGAGCTATGGGGGGCAGATAAGACTGTGGTGCCTCTAGAGGCTGGTAGCTCATGAAAGCATCAGAGTGGGGATGCAATCTTTACTGGAAGCTCCCAAATGTGGGGTGGGCCTTGCAAATGCGGAGTCTCAGAAAGCAAAACCAAGGGTCGGGCAGTGGTGGCACATGCCTTTAATCTGAGCACCCGGGAAGCAGAGGCATGTGAGTTCGAGACCAGCCTGGTCTACAAGAGCTAGTTCCAGGACAGCCTCCAAAGCCATAGAGAAATCCTGTCTCGAAAAACCAAAAAAAGAAAGAAAGAAAGTAAAACCAAGAGCTTCTTCTAGTTTGAAGGATGGAATCCAGTAGTACAGTACTAGCCCCAAGCACCCAGGCTCTAGATCGGGTCCCCAGCACCACAATTGTAAAGGAATTTTTTGTTCGGACAATGGGTGTGTAGATTTCAAATCCAGGACCCTTATGCATCAAAATGCTCAGTTTGAGATGGGAGAGATGACTGGGTGGTTAGAGCACTGCCTGCTCTTGCAGAGAACCCTGGTTCAGTTCCCAGCACCCACATGTTTCTCAACCATCTGTAGCTCCAGTTCCAGTGGATCTGACACCCCCTCCTGGTCTCTGCGGGCACTGCATGCACTTAGTGCATAGACATACATGCAGGCAAAACACCCATCTACATAAAACAATAAGATAAAAATGATTTCTAAAAATTGTGTTTTCACTATTGGTCTGGGGAAAACTAGCTAAAAAGTGGAGCACTGTGGAGCACATGCAGGGCCCTGGTTCAATTCTTGGCGGTATATATTGTTTTTTTAAAAATCCTGCTATTGTTAGTATTATAAGAAGAAAAATAAGTTTTGCCAATGGCAATTCAGTGTCTGACCTGATTGACTAGGGAGGCTGCAGAATGTCCATCCTGGGATCTTGAAGCTGTGATCAATAGTCGCCCACTTTGGAGGTCTCAGGTGAACCCAGCTGGCCTTAAGAACTTAAATGAACCTGCTGGAGTCTCCTCTGCCTCATCAGGGTAGAGGAGGGCAAAGATGGAGTGGGGGTGGGGGAGCACACAGACACAGTAGAGATTAACCCCCTAATCCCCGTGTAGTCCCAGACACTGCTGCTTTGAAGAGTGTCCACCTGCATAAGGAGGCTGTCGTCACATCTGGAATGAGCTACTAGGGCCACAGGGAGATTCTTTGCAAAGGAAAAAGGCATCTTGATGTGACAAGGAATGTCTGAGAAAAGACAAACAGCACTGGGCTTTCCCTATACCCTAGGCGGGCAGACATTGGAAGGAGGCCAACGGGGCACAGATAGACTTCTGGTCACCCTCCATCAAGGGGCAGAGTCTGAACTCAGGGCAGGAAGTCAACACCTCTCCACATTATTCATAGTTGACAAATTTGGTTGACACCATAGAAAGCACACTTCAGTGCACCTTGCTCCCTCTGTTGAGGTTAGTTGTGACTTAGAAAATACACTGGAAGCCAGGCAGTGGTGGCACATGCCTTTAATCCCAGTACTCTGGAGGCAGAGGCAGGTGGATCTCTGTGAGTTCAAGACCATCCTGGTCTACAAGAGCTAGTTCCAGGACAGCCTCCAAAGCCACAGAGAAACCCTGTCTCGAACCCCCCCCCAAAATACATTGAATAACTGATTTTCAAAATTATTTTATTTTATATGTGTGAGTAACTGTATGCATGTACATATATGATAAAAGTGTCTGTGCCTGTGAAGGCCAGGAGAGGGGATTGGATCCCCTTAAACTAGAGTTAGAGGCGGTTATGAGCTGCCATGTGGTATGGGAATTGAACCCAGGTCTTCTGAAAGAGCAGTCAGTGCTCTTAACCACCAAGACATCTCACTCCAGCCTCATAGCTGGCTTTTAAATAATAAAAGTAAAAGATTTATTACCTATACAGTGCTTTACCTGCACACCAGAAGAGGGCGCCAAATCTCATTATGGATGGTTGTGAGCCACATGTGGCTGTGGGAATTGAACTCAGGACCTCTGGAAGAGCAGCCAGTGCCCTCAACCTCTGAGCCATCTCTCCAGCCCCCAATAGCTGACTTTTTAAAAATAACACATTTTACTGGGCTTGGTGTCACACCTCTGTAAACACATCACTTGGGAGACTGAGGCAAGAGGATTACAAATTTAAGACCAGTCTAGCCATGAGCACTCTCTCTCTCTCTCTCTCTCTCTCTCTCTCTCTCTCTCTCTCTCTCTGTCTCTCTCTGTCTCTCTCTCCCTCTCTCCGTCTCTCTGTCTCTCTCTGTCTCTGTCTCTGTCTCTCTCTCTCTGACACACACACACACACACACACACACACACACACGCAAAGAGGGAGGGGAGAGGAATTTTTATTTTAAAAAGGAAAAGTCGTTTTCACGCTGTTTATTCTTCCTACAGCACAAAGGCAAGCTTGAGGTTGTGCGGTACTTCTTGTGCCTTGTCACTCTCAGTTAAGACGTCCAGATAATGACTCAGCAGGGCGCACAGGCCACAGTCTTCAGGCTGAGAGGCATGTCTGGCTCCTGCTTCCTTCAGCCAAGGGCGGACAGAACCACGAGGCCAGGGGTTGCTCTCATTTCCACTGACCGGAACAAGATTTGTAAACATTTCTTCTTAAGCTGGATTTCTTACGGTACCGGGAATTATGAAGCAATGAAGAAAGAAGGACAGCATCAATTTTCATTACCTTCACCTGCCCCCCCCTCGCCCCCAACAGCCACACAAGCCACGGGGTTCTCCGGCTCTATAAACTATGAACCGTAGGAAATTCAACCTCCTGCCTGGGCTCATGCTTCGGGAGCGAAAGCGGGTTTGGCTTCCAGCCCAGCTCCCTCTTCCTCCAGACCTTGCTGTAGCCACCGTTCCACAACGCCTGGTTTAAGTAACGTGTTCAGTGTTGTTGGCCAAGCGTTCTGCGCGCGCACAGTCCAATAGCTCAGCCACGGCCTCCCCGCATGAATTGTTCCCACTTTTTTTCTAGAATTATCATTTTCATTATAACTGCACGAGTGTTGAGTCTGATCTATGCCGTTGCTGTTTGTCCTAACATACACTGCCTTTGAGGTCTAATGCCTCAGTAAGGCGGCAGTGTTGGGGGGACAGAGCCTTGTAGCAATGTTGAGGTCAGAGGTGTAGACCTCAAGAATTAAACTGGGCTAACTATTGTAGCTTGGTTTCCTGTTGCTGTGGAAGGGAGGAAAACAGAAACAAAAAGAAAAGTAACTTGGGGATGAAAGGGTTGGCTTCAAGCTTACAACTGCAAGATCAGCATCCAACCTTGAGGAAAGTCAGAACTGGAACCCAGAAACAATCACTCACCCACCTTCTCCGCGCCACTGACCAATCAGATGGACGCGATTCCTCAGTTGAGATTCTTGCTTCCCAAGTTTGTGTTGAGTTGTCCTAAACTAACTGGCACAGCTACTGCCGAAGCTTTGGCACCCCACCCCCACCCCCACCCTCACAGGCAGCTGAATTGCCCACCATGGAATAGCAAAAGGTCTCACCAAAAGTCAGTAAGATCAACAAGATGTCCTTGAACTTCCCAACGTATGTCTTTTGTTTGTTTGGCTGGTTGGTTGTTGTTTGGGGGCTTGGGCATGGGAGTTTCTTTGCTCTTCTCACACGGGGTCTCCCATGTGTAGACCAGGATAGCCCTGTACTCATGTGCCTCTTGTCTCAGCTTCCCTGGGGCTGTGATGCTAGGCATGCACCACCATATCCGACTTAAACAGCTTTTCTTTGTAAATCATCCACAAAGACACGGCAGCAGAGGAGGCAATTGCTGACAACATTCCAGAGAATGAAAATGCAGGTGAATAAGAGCTATAAATTGAGCTGGGAGCATAGCTCAATTGTAGAGCGCTTGGCCTAGCGTGTACAAGACCTCAGGCTCCGCCCTTGCCACCTCAACAGGTGGGTGGATCAATTTAACAGAAAACATAAAGCTGAATGTTAAATTCTCAGGAAGGAGATCTATAGCAAACCACCACAATATCGAACCTTGGAAGAATCAGACAGGGCTCTCTCCATCTCACATGGGTGAGGGTGTCTGAAAACAAGCTGTCTACCTTAAACGCCCTTCCCTGTAACGTGATTGATGACTTCCTTGTGTGCCATCCTAGAGCCTTCATCCAGCGACTGAAGGAAGCAGAGACAGACACCCACAGCTAAACAGTGAACTGAACTCGGGAACCGAGTTGCAGAGAAGGAGGAGTGATAAGCAAAGGGGTTAAGACTTGGCGGGTGAAACCCACAGAAACAGCTGACCTGACAAGGGGGAGCTCATGGACCCCAGACTGATGACTGAGAGGACAGCATTGAACTGATCCAGACCCCCTGAATGTGGGTGTCAGCATTCTTTGGGGCCTCCGGCAATAGATCAGCGTTTAGCCTTGTCATCCAGATGGACTTTGGGAGCCCATTCCACGTGGAGGGATGCTGTCTCAGCCTGGACACATGGAGGAGGGCCTAGACCCTGCCAGGGATCATATGATAGACTTTAGAGACCCCTCCCATGAAGGACCTCACCCTCCTTAGAGAGTGGAGTAGGGATTGGGGGAGGAGTCGGGGGAGGGAGAGGGAGCTGGGATTGACATGGTTAGCAAACTTGTTTCTATTTTAAATTAAAGGGAAAAAAATGTGTGGTAGCAGGGCAGTGGTGGCACACACCTTTAATCCCAGCACTCGAGAGGCAGAGGCAGACAGATCTCTGAGTTGGAGGTCAGCATGTCTACAGAGTTCCAAGACAGCCAGGGCTACACAGAGAAACCCTGTCTGGGAAAAAAAAAAAAGTGTGTTTCTTCTCATTCCTGTGTGCACCTCTGCCATTGTCCCTGCCCAGCCTGGAGAAGAAATTTTGAATTGTAGAGGCATTGTGTACAAGAAAGGTGGACATTGGAAGCAGATGAACGGTGTGCACTTGGGAATTTAGGGCCCACAGTGGTCTCCTGGCTCCCATGATGCTTAGTGGTAAAACTTATTGTACCCCATAGTGATGTGGAGGATTTGCTCAGGAAGCTGATCAATACACTGTCCCAAGTCCCTTAGAGCCACAAGAGTGACAACAGCTATCACTTGGAGTTTGAGGGAAGGTCTTAGTGAAGACAAGTTGAACTTGTCTGCAGATGGGCAAGAGGGGAACAAACATTAGCAAAGCCTCTAAATCTTTGCTTACCTTTCTCACAAGGTTCCTACCGGATGTTCTCAGGGAGGCCAGGCTGGCCTTGAACTCACTGTTTAGATGAAGATGTCCTTGAACCCTTGAACTCCCGCTCTTCCTGCCTCCACTTCCTAAGGGCTGGGATTACAGTTGTGTGCACCAGTTTAAAACAAGGAAGACAAGGCACTCCACACGAAAGAGCAGTCGAAAGCTTTGAGGGAGTGACTGCCGTGGACCGCAGGAGAAACCCAGTCTGAGCAGAAGATGTCATCGCAGAGAGAAAGGCCACAGAGGGGCGCAACATGTCCTTTACATTGGAAGAGCTTGGAGGGTGATTCTCAATAAAGATCAAAAGATAAGGCAAATGAAACATGCTGGCTATACACCCGTAATCCCAGCACACAGAGGTAGAGGCAGGAGGATTGCCACAAGTGCAGCCCAATCTCCACAACCCCTCAAAGGCTTGCTTGCCCAGCAGCTTGTGTCCCAGGTCATTCTAGAGCCTACCAAGTTGACAATATTAATCGCCATAGTTTCATTAGGGGCACTTTTATCCTCTTGTCATTCCTCATAAAATATTGTGAAGGGACTAGAGACGACTCAGAGGTTAAGAGCACTGTCTACTCCTGCATGGGACCCAGGTTCAGTTCCCAGCACCCACATGGCTGCTCAGGACCCTCTGCGCCCTCTTCTGGCCTCCACAGGTAGTGCATGCACATGATGCACTTATGTGTAGGCAAAACACCCATACACATAAAGTTGTTATTGTTTTTTTTAATTAGGTTAAATCTCATGATGGAGGGCAGGTAAGATGGAGGGCAGGAACTGAGTCGGAAGTAGACCTGAGAGGGGGAAAAGCTTTCCCTCAACTGCCATAGCAACAAGTCAGAAGAGACTCTCTAAGATTAAGATAATGAAGACACAGCTTTTAAAATGCGTCGTTTATGCATGAATGCGGCAAACACCAGAAGTACAACGGAGACAGTGGTTCACTGAGGACGTCTAGATGGAGGCACGAATGGGCCAGGAAGACACAACGTTGTGATTTTTAGAAAGACTTAACATGTGAAGTTTTAAGCTACCTCTATGTGCTTGGAATAATTTTTTTTAAAGAAATAAAAAAATGAATATTCAGGCTGTGGAAATCAAAGGGGTTTCCCCACCAGGGTAGACACCTTATAGGTCTCTCTGTCCTCACGGGAGGTTGTAAGAAGTCAGACAATGCATGTCATCTCGGCCTCGGTCTTGGCACCAGGGGAACTCTCCTCACTTCTGACTCTCGGATGACATACAGCTATGCATTTGGGGGAAAGTGGAAACCGCAGCGTGCAGATGCTCTCATGACTCAGCCCAGGAGAGAGGAAGGAAGCTGGCGGTTGGTCCAGCAGGTGGGGAGCCTCCTCCGCAGACACCTGTCGACGGTTCTGGGGCCTTCCGGGTTCCAGAGGATGAGCCCAGCATCCCCCGACGCCGGGGAGGCATCTGTTCTGTGCACCGAGAGATCTGCATCCGCGTCTGGGCACCGCGTGACAAAGGAGAGGTGTCCTCTGAACGAGCGGGCACCGCGGGATGCTGGACCCTGCTGCGCACAGCTTCTGCAGGGCACCCGCTTGGGTTCCCACGGTGGCGCCACGCGAGACCCGCTGTCTCTAGATTCCTACAGCCAACTCCTCGCGGGGACCAGTTGCGCCCCCGGGCTACAGCCTTTTTACGTCACAGGGGCTGGAGGGATTCCTTGTCCACCAGAGCCCTCACAGAGCGTGAGCATCAGGACCACCCCTCCCGGCGCGCCTGGAGGTCCAGCCTGCGGCCCAGCAGGGGCCCTGGGGAAGCAGCTCCCGCCACTCAGCGGGAGATCTGGGATTGGGCAGGCCCGCAGCTAAGTATTTTAAACACCACTCAGCAACCAAAGCCGACTTCCTGCAGAAACCCTCCACCGCCCCCTGCCAGGCCCCTTTCCTCCCTAGCCTTCCCCTTCCCTAGATTGTTATCCTGGTGAGATTGGGTGGAAACGGCAGCAGCAGAGTAGTTAGGCCTCAGGTCGTGCTGCGGCCTGGAGTTAAACATGCTAACCGGGCTTGCTGGAGGCTTCTGGGTGTCCAAAGTCCTTAACCTCAGCAATTAGAGGGCCTCCAGCCTCACCTTCCCACACCCCTGTTGCCCTCTGAGCTGATGCTTAAGGTATGAGGCCCAACCCTGGGCCTGTTTCAGGCGCTACTTTCCCGTTAATGAGGAGACCTCTTCCCAGTGTGGCATGTTCAGCTGCTCTTTCACCCTTGAGAGGAAACGGTCCCTCTACGCCTCCCACCCCCACCCTGTGAATAGGTCCGCTCTGTGAGAACGTAAAGACCAATGGAGAGCGCTATGTTCGCAAGCCAAGGTCATCTCCTACTTAAGTGAGAAAAATGGTCCGGGGCTGTGTACTGGATTATGGTATATAGCTAATGTAGGCATTTTGTGCGGATCAGATTGGGGCAGGTATTCTGGCACTCGGGAGTCACAGAATATTGAGTGTTACCCAGCTCAGATGGAAAGGTATCCTAGAGCTGGGGAGCCAAGGACCACCACAGGCCGCAGTAAGCTTAGCAGTTTGCAGCCCGGCCTCAGGGAAAGGCTTCCCAGTGTATCGGAGCTTGTTTGACCAGTGTAGCAGTTTTGCTCAGGCAGGTTTCCCGGGAGAAGTTGCTACAGTTCAGTTCCCAGAGTGGAGAGCCGAGTATAACAACTCCTCTCTGCCAGGGGAAGGTTTCCCCAGCAAAAGTGTTACAGACCTGCCTGCTCTGCTCTGCCCAGGGTCGTCTCTGCAGCAAAAGAAGGTCTTCACCCGAAGCTCATCCTAGGGGTTTATTGGGAGGGAAGAATTCGGGAGAGCGGCAGTCCCCCCCACCCCCAATGTGACAGAGGATAGGCTGGTGCGTGAACAGGGTTTATATAGGGCTTCCTGGGTGGGGATTGGTCAGATTTTAGTGCTGAGCTCAGATTGGCTAGAGCTCTGCTCAAGGATTGGTTAGTTTTCTGCACAGGGTTAGGATCAGATTTGGCTCTGGTTTCAGAGCCAAAGTGTGTTTCCTTCTCTGGTCCTTTTTAGCCTTTTGGCTCTAATTTTAGGGCCAGGGTGTGTTTCTTTCTTTCTTTTTTTTTTTTTAAACGACTGGATTGAAATACACTTTAATGAGTTCCTCAGCAACTGCGATTTGTAACCTGCAGCTGTGTGGCATCAGACTTTGCTTCCTGCTCCACAGGCTTCAGATGCCACTGTACTACCAATTCCCCAGTGCTCTTGAGGCACGTGCTAGACATGGTCTCTTCTGTGGGAAGTCCTTGTGGCAGCTTCAGGGGCTGGATGCGTATCAAGTGTTTGACCACTTTCAACTTTGCGTTCACTGAAGGGATGTTCTTGTGAATTTGAGGGCTGTGTGCCTTCTGAAGTCCAAGCATCTTGATTGTATCTTTTTCCCAGTATGGGTGCCTTTTTGTACTTTTTATTCTTGTAACAATGTGCAGTTTATGAGGGTGCTGGGGGTCCCCACCATATTTTTCATGATTTTCAGGTCTTGGCTGAAAAACTTTATCTGGAATTCTTGATCTGGTAAATTTGTGACGAATCCAATCTGTACCAATGAGAGATTCCACACCTTTATTCACTGTCTGCAGTCTGCCTGGAGGCCTCTGAAATACTGAGCGCAAAATGCCAGCCATAAGTGTAGTAATTCTTCTCTTCAGAGGCCGCGGCCGCTCTGTCCAGTCTGAACGTCCCTGCAACCGGAAGGCCAGGGTGTGTTTCTTTCACTGACTTTGATTCCAGGGACAAACTGTGTTTCTTTGGCACTGGTTTTAAAGGGTCAGGGTTCATTTCTTTGGTTCTGGTTGCAGGGCCAAAGTGTGTTTCTTTGGCTCTACTCCGGGTGTGTTTCTTTGACTCGTCCCTTTTTCCCTACAGCTAATGTAAGGGTTCAGGCATCATGCTGGCCGCAGAATGCACTCAGGCAGTACCCTGGTCAGCTCAGGGTTCCACTGAGTCTGCACACAGGTGCAAAGGGCCCCTTTAAAAGACGGACCCCGCCCACTTACGTTCTTCTATTCCCCTGGGGCAGACAGGACTTTTCCTGTCTCCCTCTTCTGGCCCCTCTGTGTCTCTTTACCTCTTTTCTCTTTCTAATAAAGCTTCTCACTTACGCTCTGTCTGCCTAGCATGTTTGTCCCGCCTGGGTCACCCTTGCCCGCCATGGAATCCACCCAGGTTCCCCAAGCACTTTATCATAAGCTAAATTAATCTAGTTTGTAAAATGCCTGGGAAAGTATGGAATGATCAGGCGATGACGAGAGATGTCCTTGATCTCTGAGTCTAGCAAACAAGGCTGTGTTGAGCCAGCAGGCATCGAAGTCAGGGCAGCGAGTTTGCAGCAAGACTAGTGTCTGCAGGCTGGGTCTGCAGTCCATCCTGCCCCGCCCACCCCACCCTCACCCCCACCCCACCCCCAATACATACACACACACACAAAAATAAATGAATGATTAAAAATTATATGTGTGTGTGTGTGTATGAATAAATGTATATAGCCAGAGGAGGGAGGGAGAACCAACCAAAAAATCAAGAACCAAAGAGCTGGGCTTGTCTAACTTGGACAAGAGGCACTTTTGGGGTGCAGGGTAGAAATTTTCAAACCCATGTTACTATGGGAAAAACCACGAGAGGTACTCTGTGAGGCTGTAAGCGGGAACCCATGACTGATGTGGTGGCAGGGGAGCTGTAGTCCTGGCTACTAGAGAGGCTGAGGAACCTTGAAGCCAGAGATTCCAGGCCAGGCTGGGCAGCAGAGTTGGGAGTCTGAAGAGAGAAAGGGGAGAAGCAAAGAGGGGAAAGGAGGGGAAAATCAATGGTGTATGCTCTGGGTTCCAGTCCCAACACCATTTTTAAAAGCAGTCCAGGGGCTAGAGAGATGGCTCAGTGGTTAGGAGCACTGGCTGCTCTTCCAGAGGACCCCATGTCCTCGGAGGGTAGCACATCTTTAAGCCTATGGGCACTATATCTAGAAAGTAAATTATTAGCGGCATAACTGCTAGCCCAAGGTGGTTCTCTGTGTGTTCGACACCAGCCTGGTCTGCAAAGCTACACAGAGAAACCCTGTCTTAAAAAAAAAAAACCTGGTGTCCAAAGGGTATGTACATTTTCAATTGTGATAGGTAAGACTGAAAGACCCCTACCCAGGACCCCCTAGGAAAAGAAAAGCAAGGCCAGGCCATTGCCTAATGAAAAAAAACCCAGACCAGGTGCCTTGCCCAACTGGCAGGATGTCAAACAGGATCTGTGGTCACCAGAGCAGTCATGGGACCCGGATAATAATTGCTGAAGCGTGCCAGGGTCTTTTATGTGGCAATACCAGGACACCTAGTCCTTGGCAACTACCCCTGCCCCCAGTTGTGTCTATGATCACCATAGTAGTCATGGAACCCGGATAATAATTACTGAAGCGTGCCGGGGTCTTTCATGAGGTAATACCAGGAAACTTAGTCCGTGGGAACTACCCCTGCCCCCAAGATGAGCCAATGAAATGCCTGTTGCTATGCTGATACTTATGTAACCAATAAAACTCTATAAATATTGTGCTCCCTACAAGCCCGGTATGCTCTGCACCCGAGTTGCAGTAGCATCCGCAGGCGCCTGTGTACTCAATAAATCACCTCTTGCATTTGCAGCCAGCGGTCTGGCCCCGGTTCTTGGGCAGAGGGTTCGGTTCAGTGCCAGGCGCTTTGATGCCGAGGTCTTTCAAGATACCATCAAAGAGAAGGTGGGTTTTATTTTAGAGTAAGAAGTTTTGTTTTGTTCTTTGAGACAGGGTTTCTCTATAGCCCTGGAACTCACTCTGTAGACTAGGCTAGCCTTGAACTCACAGAGATCCACCTGCCTCCGCCTCCTGAATGCTGGGACTAAAGGTGTGCACCACCACCACCCAGCTAAGTAAGAAAAAAGAATTTTAACTGAAACTACCCAAAATGTTGTGGGCCAACTTACCAGGAATGCCACTGAGTGTATAGTCAAGCCAACTCTCTCTCTCTCTCTCTCTCTCTCTCTCTCTCTCTCTCTCTCTCTCTCTCTCTCTCTCTCTCTCTCTGTCTCCTTATTTGTAAATGTAAAGAACAAGTATTTCTATCTATATTTCAGTAGACTTGGAAACCTAATGTCAAGGGACTAGCATCAGACAAAGACCTTTTTACTTCCTCCTGTGTTAGAAGGCAGAAAGGTAAGAGGGCATATTCACGGAAAGTGATCAGGACTGAACCTGTGTCAGGGCTTCCATGGTAACTAGTGGCAGTTTGAATGTCATTGATCCCATAATCTCACAGGGAGTGACACTACTAGGAGGTGTGACTTTGATGGAGAGGGGATGGCCTCGTTTGGGGGAAACGTGTCACTGTGAGGGTGGGGTTTGAGGTTTCCGAGGCTCAAGATAACACTCAGTGTCTCAGTTGACTTCCAGTTGCCTGCAAGATGTAGTGCTCTCTCTCAGCTCCAGCACCAAGTCTGCCTGCACACAGCCATGCTCCCTGTATGCTCCCTGCCTGCACACAGCCATGTTCCCTGCCTGCACACAGCCATGCTCCCTGCATGCTCCCTGCCTGCACACAGCCATGCTCCCTGCCTGCACACAGCCGTGCTCCCTGCGTGCTCCCTGCCTGCACACAGCCATGCTCCCTGCATGCACACAGCCATGCTCCCTGCATGCACACAGCCATGCTCCCTGCATGCTCCCTGCCTGCACACAGCCATGCTCCCTGCCTGCACACAGCCATGCTCCCTGCCTGCACACAGCCATGCTCCCTGCATGCTCCCTGCATGTACTCAGCCATGCTCCCTGAGTGCTCCCTGCCTGCACACAGCCATGCTCCCTGCATGCTCCCTGCCTGCACACAGCCATGCTCCCTGAGTGCTCCCTGCATGCACTCAGCCATGCTTCCTGCCTTGAGGATAATGGACTAACCTCTGAAATTGTGAGCCCCCCAATTAAATGTTTCCCTTATAAGAGTTGCCATGGTCATGGTGTCTCTTCACAGCAATAAAAAGCCCTAACTAAGACATTAACACAAGCCCATGGTGTTGGCATTCACCCCCCACATCCCGTGACATGGAGCCTTGCAGCCTCAACCCTGTGAGAGGTCTCCCCTCACAGCACAGCCTCTAACAGGACACATCCAGATTTCAGTGCCCGTGTAGCTCTCTCTTATTGTTGTTTGGGGCTTGAGAGATGGCTCAGCAGTTAAGAGCACTTACTGCTCTCCCAGAGGACCCAGGTTCAGTTCCCAGCACCCACATCAAGGGACGCACAGTTACCTAAAACTTCAGGGGATGTGGCATTCTCTTCTGGCCTCTGTGCATTCACTGCACAACCACACACATACACAAACACACTTAAAACTAATACAAATAAATCTTTTTTAAGTGATATGTATTTTTGGTATACAATATGATGTTTATAAATACGTATACTCTAGCTTTCTAATAGCAGGTATAGCCCCAGGGACTCAAAATGTACTTGTTATTCAGTGATTAGCGAGATGCTGGCGTGGTTTACACTGGAAGAGGCATGAAGGATGCTGCCTGATGTAACACATACCCCCAGTGACCTCTGAGTGGAGCATCAATCTGATGTAAGGGCTTTCCCACGGTGTGCCCGGACAATGGAGGACTCCAGTAGGTGGTCAGAAAGAATCTGAGGGAGCCCCTTAACGTCCTCTTGTCACTAACACTGTCCACATCTGGAACTCTACATATGGAAAAGTGCTGTTGAGCAGATGCGGCCACCCAGGGAGTGGCATATGTCACCACTGAAAGTCATTTGGCCATCAGCTCTAGCATCCTGTGTACTGTGGTCCACTGTAGTCCATGCTGCCGTAAGCAACTCAACACTGTTACCTCCCAGGGATAGAAAGTTGCTTCCCTTACAAGCCATCTTGCCTTATTTCTTGGAAGACTCTAGATGAGATATAGTGGGGGGAAAAAACTGTTTCACTTCAGATTTATTCATATTTACTTAGTGTGTGAGTATTAGTCTGCATGTATGTATGTGTATTATGTGTGTGCTTGGTGCTTCTGGAGGCCAAAAGTGGGCATCTGATCCTCTGGAACTGGAGTTACAGATGGTTGTGAGCTGCTGGGTGGGTGCTGGGAGCTGAGCTTTAGTCTTCTGTAAGAGTAGCCAGTGTTCGTAGCCACTGAGCCCATCATGGTGTAGTTCAGGCTGGCCTTGAACTCGCAACCCACCTGAGTTGGGCTCTGCCGCATATCCTACTGTTGTGCACGATCACAATCTGTTTCCCTTTATATTCCCTGACTACAAAATTTTCTTCCTTCTACAAGCCAGGCCTCACAGTATCTAGGGACAGCCATGCTAACTCGGCCTGGCTCCTTTGGGGTTAATCTTAGTTCTTTGGGTCATTTCTTACACGTTGTGTTTTCCAAACAGTCACCACATTAACTCCTCTTTTGAACACCTTTCTCTTCAGGCAGTGAAGAGCCCCTGACACCACTGCCCAGAACCCAGCTGCACCCAGCTGGGAAAAGGATCAACTAGGTCCCTGCTAGGAAGGTTTTGCCTTGGGTTGTCAACTCAATTTTCCTTTCTGGAGAAACTACTGGAGAACAAGCCTTTATTCCATTAATTTCTGATTCTCCCTGACTAGTCCTACTCAAACGATGACAATACATAGAACCCAGTTGGCCACTTGATCCCTGTCACCCTGGATTCTTGGGAGAATGGTGTGGAGTAGAAGGATTCTGTTGCCTTACTTGGGGCAGAGGGTCATCCCATCCTCTTGGCTCTTCAATCTCTAACAACTATTCCATCTCTTTGTAGAAAATTCCATTTCTGATTATGGTCCATTTCAGTTGTGTCCAAGGAAAGAACTCACCGTGGAACGGAGACAGCCAACCATAAACATAGGTTCTGTGTGAGACCTTACGTCCCCAGTTCCAACTGTGACAAGCCTTTGGGGAAGCCAGGTCTCTCTTTGTTCCTGCTTCCAGTCATCTGCTGATCTGGCTACCCTACCACCAAGGTTTCCATCAAGTTCCCACACAAACTGTTAGAGGAGCTGGAGAGGTGGCTCAGAGGTTAAGAGCACTTGCTTGCTCTTCTAGGGGACCTGAGTACAATTCCCAGCATGCACACTGGGTGGCTTGTAACCACACCTGTAACTCCAGCCACAGGAGATCTGACACCCTCATCTGACCTCTGAGGGCACACACACACAGAGAGACACGTAAGCTGATAATAAAATTAATCTTTAAAGAAAATAAAAACAAACCATGGTTGAGGTGGGTAGCCAGGCGTGGTGACATGCTCCCGTAATCCTAGCATCCAGGAGGCTGAGGCAAGGTGTTGCTGGGAGTTTCAGACCAGCCTAGGATACATAGCCTGTCTCAAAACAAAATGTTAAGTAGCTAGTCACAACTGCTTCCTACTAACCACAGACTGTGTGCCAGCCTTCAAGGCAAGGAAGTTGCCATTCACAAGGTTACCTAGTTGGCTAGTAGATAATGGAGTCACAGTTAAGTTCAACTCTTATCAGCCCGAAGCCAAGAGACAGAAACTAGACTCTCCCCTCAGCCCTCAGAACACTGGGGATGGGTTGCATCTTCAGGTGTACCTAAAGGCCTGGGAGGAAGAGGGTAGGGATAAGTGGGCTTCAGAGGCAACCCCAAGCTACAGAAGGCTCGGCCTCAGCCTCCACGTGCTCACAGAGAGGTGCAGACTAAACCCTAGGGCCACTGAGTGTTGAGGTAGGGAAAAGAGGGGGCGGGAAGGCAGGGGCAGGACGGGCTTCATTCAGCATCTTAAGATTGGGGTCAGGTAGCTGCACCTTCCAAGCCTTCCAGCGTGTCTCACTTCTGAGCCAACAAGACAGACGGCTCTTTCCTCCCAGATGCCTCCTGACACCAGGCTGCTCTCAGAACCCCTTAGGGAAGGGGACTCACAACAGAAGAAATCTGGCACACCCGGGAAGGGAGAGTGCTGGGGGAACAGGCATTGTAGGATAATGGAACTCTATGGGGACAAATTTAGACATGGCTTTGTTTTTTGTTTTTTTTTCTCACCCTGATTGGCTAGTGTAAAACCCTCATTTACAACCTTGACAGAGCCCCGACTAATTTCTATCGTTGAAACAGCTTTTTATAGTCACAGCATCAAGATGTAGAATACATTTCCTCTTCTTTCCCAACATATCACATTTCTTGGCAGAAATATGTAACAGAAAAGTACCAAAAATTTTTATAATGAGAACAAACTCCAAATTCGGTCCATCAGCCTTCTCCTGCAGATTATTTCTTCCTGTTAGCTCATCCGTGCTTTAACTTTCTTCTAGTGACTCATACGTTCAATTTTGGTCTCAGCAGCCTGCAGCCGTATGACAGGATCCTGTTGCCACAGGACAGGGCCCATGACCTTAGAGATTCCTAAGGTGACCTGATGGCCTTCACGTGCATTCAGTCTGGAGTTTGGCCCCGTTCAGGCTGCCATCACTTCCCACTTGAATCCCAGGGTTAAGCCCCAGAATGGCCTTCCTCCTGCTCTTCCATCTTGGTTTAATTTATCTTCTCTCTAAGATTTTCCTTTTTGAAAGTGTGTGTGTGTGTGTGTTTGTGTGTGTGTGTGTGTGTGTGTGTGTGAATGCTAAAGCATTGGAAGAAAAATGCAGTTTGTAATCACCTAATCACCTTCAGGAAAAAAAGCCAAGTTCAAATCTAAAGGACCACAAGATGCCATACGCCAGCCACACGAGGGGTCTTTGCTCAACAGCGAGGGGCCTCTGTTCTGCCAGCCGATCCTCGAGCCTTTGCCTTCCGCCCTAAAACCGCCTTCCCAGCTCAGCCCTGCGCGGTGACTAACTCCATCAGGAATATGACCCAGTTTGCTTGGCAGGATGTGATTTTTTTTTTTAACTCACTGCTCTCTCTGGTCACGATTCTCTCCCAGGCATTTAGCGACTCCCTCTTGGCATCCGTCTGGTGCCGAGCCGGATTGATAACTCTCTCCCCAGCTGTTCCCTTCCAGCCAGCCCTCCCCTTTCTGGTAAATCCATATTCCATTTGCTTTTCTGCAGCAGCCTGCTACCTCTAGGGTCTCCTTAAAATAGATAAACACAGCTCTCCAAGGGAAGTCTCGAGGCAAAACCCACAGCACATACTAGCCTAATAATCCACTCCAGAAGGCGGCTGGATAAAAAGAATCGCAATGGGAACCACCCACTGGTACAGGCTTTTATCATTTACCAAGCACTTTTGACCCACATGGTCTTATTTAATATTCACAATAAGCCATAATGCAGGTATAAGGGCTATTTCCACCTTATAAAAAAGCCCCTAAAGAAGTGAAGAATTCTGGGCAGGAAGTAGGGCCAGGGTTAGAGCCCTGCCTTTTGAAAACTGCTGTGTAAATTGTATTTGCTCAATCACACAGGACCAGGAATGCAGCTCCAGGGCAGAGAATTTTCCCAGCACACACAAGACCCTGGATTCAATCCCCAACACCTTGGGGGAAAGGGGAAATAGACATAAGAATCTTTGGTGTTCATTTTTGATGAATTCTGCAAAGGGCATCCTGGATCTGAAGGCATGGGACCAGAAATGTTTGGAGTTTAGGAATCTCCCCAATTTGGGAATATTTCCATGTACATAATGACCTCACCTTAGGGATGGCATCCAAGTCCAAGTACATCTGTTTGTGCTTCCTATACATAGTCTGAAACAATTTTGCACAATATGCTTTCATGCCTGGGTGTTGACTGTGCTCTGTCCCGTATCATTGGACCTAGAATGTTCCACTTGTAGCATCACATACAAACTCAAAACGTTCCAAGTTTCAAGTTTTGTCCTTTTTCTTGTGCGCTGTGCTACACCTCCGGAATTAACAAAATGGGTCCCACATGCCAGATCTAGAGATTATGGACCCTGGGAAGCCAAGCCAGAGCCTTTTACATGGAAAGGCAGCTCAGTTGGTTGAGTGGACCTGAAGGTTTGCAATCTATGGAGAATAATTCCAAAATGAAAGGCCGAGGATCAAATGGAACCCACCACACACCCCCTCAGAAGCATGTCTGTGTGCAAGTGAGTTTCAGAAGGAAAACAGTTACAAAGTTGAGAAAGAGGGCTAGAATTCTGCTTTAAAATGAAAAAAAAAGTCACTGTTAGGGGAACTGAAGAGATGGCTCAGCAATTAAGGGTGGGTACTGTTTTGCAGAGAACCAGCTACAGTTTCCAGCACCACCCCCTCCCAGGGACTCACAACCATCTGTAATTCCAGTTTCAGGGGATCTGATGCCCCCTTCTGGCCTCTTTGGCCACTGCAGTCCTGTGTTGCCCATACATACATGTAATAAAAAAATTAAAAATCATTGTTAGGATTTAAATCTAGAATGTCCTCCACAGGCTTGCGTTTTGAGCATTTGGCCTCTTTCATTTCAGGCCCCCTTTATAAAAAGGGGGAGGGAGGGCTGGCACATACGGCAGAGATGAGCCTTTGAAAGTTACAGTTGGGCTGGGCAATGATGTCACACGCTTTTAATCCCAGCACTTGGGAGGCAGAGGCAGGCAGATCTCTGTGAGTTCGAGGCCAGCCTGGCCTACAGAGTGAGTTCCAGGACAGCCAGAGAAACCCTGTCTCAAAAAAAATAAAAATAAAAAAAGGTGTTAACAATTGTCTCCAGACTGAATTTCTACTTCCTGCTTTCCATTGTGTGATGAACAAGCAACCACCACACACTCCCACCACCAGGAACGAAACTGTTCTGTATTGCCTTCCCCAACATGACAGATGACAGACCAAAATCGCTCTTACACACTGAGCCAAACTAAGCCTCCCCCCCCCCACAAGCTCTTTGTCAGCAATTCTGGTCACAAGTAACTAATACAATCACCAAGCTGCAGCCTCAGCCTTCTGGCTTACCTTCAACTATCAACACAAAAATCTGGGGTCATTATTTCAAAGAAGAAAAAAAAATACCCTGAATTTTCATATCAGAAAATTCACTTTTGTGGACCCATCAGACCCATGAGGCATGTGTGGTCTGAGATCAGAAGCTTCACAACTGGAGATTCCATTTAGGGTTGAAAAATGAAAGAAAATAAATGACAAAGACCTATCATATTGCTTTCCCAGGATGTGTGGGTCGCTCCCAGTATAGCCAGCCCTTCTAGAAACTTCCATTAGGGAAAGGCCGCTTTAAGACAATCTTATCTGGCTGGGCAATGGTGGTGCACACCTCTAATGCCAGCACTATGGAGGCAGAGGCAGGCGGATCTCTGAGTTCGAGGCTAACCTGATCTCTAGTGAAACTTCCAGGACAGCCAGTTCTACACCAAGAAACCCGCTTTAAAAGGAAAAACAAAAGACAGGCATATCTGGATCTGTCTGCCCAGCTTTACCTGAACTCTGTGTTGGGTCTTGCAAAATAAAGCTGCTTCCTCTTGGATCTCGTTTACACACAGCGGCAGCTGGTAAATATTTAACAGCTAATTCCCCAGGAGGGGAAAAGCCCTAGAGTGCAGAGTTTTTACAGAGTTCCAAGATGTCCTTGAAGAGCAGGTTTGAGAGTCTGCCTCCGTGACTGTTTCCGGAGCCCTTCCAACTGGATTTATCTAGCATGCCACTGGCCCACCGGCAGTCCAGGAGCCAGCCCTCTGATCTGGAGGGAGGGGGATTTGTGGGCGGCCCTATCCTCTCTGCCCGCTCTCACAGATCCTCTCCAGAAGGAAGACCAGACCGTTGCTCAGTCAGCAGTTTGCAAGGATTCCAATCAAAGCTTCTCCTTCCCTTTGAAGTTCCTTCACAGAAGCCAGACAGGATTCCCAGAGTCCTCAGGACGGAGCCCTCCGCCTTTCCCGTCTGGTCTCCATGAATAGCTGGACTGGGGACGTGTCTACAATCTCCCTGAGCATCAGCGTATTTTTGAGGTTTGTTTGATTTCTCTTTTAATAGACAAATTCCTGAAAACACAGGAAAAAAAACTCATTTCCTGTTCCCAGCTCAGCATCCACAACCAGGAAGACGCTGGGAGCACGGTGGAAGCTGGGAGCCGGCGCTATTTCATAGACTCCCTGTGGAGCGCCTGCCACGCTGCCACCAGGATCCTTAGCAACAGAGACAGGAGAGCAGGAGGAAGGGTTGGGGGCTGTGCAGGCTCAAGAAACAGGGTGTGCGGTAACAGGATTGCAGGGCTTTCTAGCGAACACGACTGCGCTGCCTCAGCCCCACAGCTGGTCCTGCACACGTTGCTCTTTCCCTCCCTTAGCACACATTTTCCTTCCTTCCAGAACTTGACCTGAATCTCCCCCTCATCTCCTCTCCTCGCTTACTCTTGGCATACTATATTTGCGACTTGTTTCCTGATGTACCTATCTCCTATGCAGAACCTTGACTTGACTTTTTTGTTTGTTTTTGTTGTTGTTGTTTGTTTTCAGAGACAGGGTTTCTCTGTGACTTTGGAGCCTGTCCTGGGATTTGCTCTGTAGACCAGCCTGGCCTCAAATTTACAGAGATCTGCCTGCCTCTGCCTCCCAGGTGCTGGGATTAAAGGCATGCGCCACCACTGCCTGGCTGACTTTATATTTTTAAGCCTTCTGGTGACTGTAAATACTCATACAATTATCCAAGCTCCCTGTCTCTCTTATCCTGTACAATATCTTCCTTGTCATTCCTATTACAGAGGTGTTTAAAGAGGGAGATTTTGTAGTCTACACTGATCAAGTTAAGCAGATAGCTTCCCACGTATCTTCCTGTAATCTTGGGTCTCAGAATTATCTGTGAAGTAGACATTATTGTTTGTTCCATTTTACATAAGCTGTTATTAAGGATCAAAGAGGTTAAGTACCTTTCCAGAGTCACACAACTAGTAAATGGTAAGTGGTCTGTGAACTGACCCTAGAAGGATTGCTTTTGAATGTGCGAATCGGAAGGACAGTAGGAGCCAAGGACCAAATCCCCATAGTTATACGTACGCCTCAGCCACCAGAGTCCCCATCTGCCACAAAGTTCACCCAGCACTTGGGCTAGGAATATGGACATTATTGCACCACATGAAGTCTTCTTGGTCAACAATGGAGTTTCCATCAACAATGGGAACATTCTTCATACTGGTCCCGATTATTTTAATGCCCTGCCTGTCACATAGCTCGTGTTTTCACTGTAACTTTTCTGTCTCCATAAAGAAAATACTTACTCTTCTGTTAAAAATACTGGTGATCTGGGGGCTAGAGAGATGGGTCAGTGGCTATTCTTTCAGAGGACCCAGGTTCAATTCTCAGCACCCACATGGCAGTTCATAACTGCCTGTATCTCCAGTTTCAGGGGATCTGACATCTTCACACAGACAAAACACAAATGTGCATGAAATAAAAATAGATAAACTATAAAAAAATACTAGTGGTCATCAATCCACTGTACAGGTAGTAGCCCAGAACCAGTAGGGTTGCACAAATGTGTTCTATGGTGTTTAGGACCATGTCACCCATGTCACAGTATAGCCCATCCTAAGGGACACTTGGCTGATAGGAGCGCAGCTGTTTCTTAACAGTTAAAAGAGTGAAACAACACGGTCCTTAAGACAGTGGTTCTTGAACTGTGTCCCTACCCTTTCTTCATAAGGTGTTACAAGCTGGACTTGGGTGGTGAGGGTTGACGGTGGCAGATCCAGGGGTCAAATGACATCGTTGTGGCTATTACCACCTGCTCAGAACTGCTGTCTGCTGCTATGATGAACGCCGTGACCAAAAGCAACTCGAGGAAACGGTTTCTTTCAGTTACAGCTTGTGGTCCATCACTAAGGGAAACTGAAGCGGGAACCTGGAGGCCGGATGCTGATGCTGGAGTTGCTGATGCAGAGACCACGGAAGAGCACTGCATACCAGCTTGCTCCGCTTGGCTTGCTCAGCCTGTTTTCTTATCCTACCCAGGACAACCTGCCCCCAATGGGCTGGGCCTTCCCACATCAGTCAGTAGTCAAGAAAATGTCCCACAGACTTGCCTTTTGGCCATTGTTGGAGGCATTTCCTCAATGGATGTTCCCTCTTCCCGAGTGGCTCTAGTTTGTGTCAAGATGACAAAAAAAAAAAAAAAAAAAAAAACCCACTCTCTCAAGGTGATGATGTCACATTACTGTCTGAAAACTGCCCCAACTTGAGAACATCCCACTGAAGGTGTTCTTAGCATTTGGCACTGGCACCTTCTGTCTGCCAGTAAACACAGATACACTTAGACACGTGAGGACGGCTCGCAAAGATTAGCAGAAACAAAGAGAGAACCCATTTGGTCTGGTGTGACAGCTCAATTTTTCTTTCATGGACAGTTGGTGATAATTTTAAATTTTATCCATATATTCTGGAGTCTACTTTCTCCTCATAACATTGTTCTTAGCTCATTTAAAAGAAAACAAACACTCCAGTGTTCCATGCTGTTCTCCAAAGAGCCCTACAGGCGTGGGTGCTGTCCTCTACTATGCCATGGGACTGAGGATGCTACAGATTTGTTTAGCCTTAGTGAAGGATAAAGGGGATGAGAATGTAGAGATGCCACCACGAGGATCAGGTGCTGGTGTCAGACTGGTGGAAGGCACCGGAACTACTGATGAAAATGGAACATTCTAAAGAGGGCCCCAGGCCTTGCCCCCCCCAGCAGGGGTTACCCAGCAGGTCAGGGGACTCATTTTAACTTTCCAAATCCATCCCCACTTCTCACTCCCAGTGTGAGCCTGTGTCTGTGGCAATCCCGGAGACCCCGGGAGGAAGCTGGCATGCCTGCTAGAGAAGTCTGACAGGAATGAGTGCCTGGACCCTGAATCCTTGTGACTGACAGAAGGCATGCCTCCTGCTCTTCCCCAAGCCTACCTTTCTCCGGGGCTCTGTGACACAACTGCATCACAACACCGTGTCCCAGGCCTTGAGTAAGGAGGCTGCAGTCTGAAAAGTCATTCTGGGGGTCTTCACCTCTGCTCACTGGAATCAGCTACCAGAAGATGCTTGGAGCCAAAGCCAGGCTTTTTCAACATAGTACCCCGGAGCCCTCCCTCTCTCTTGACCACCAGCCTGCCTCCCCACCACTCCCCCTGTAGTAGAGCCTACCCCTCCCCTAATGCTGCTATCTAGGGTCTTCTAGACCTCCTCCCTAAATACCCAGTGGGTTCCTCAAACTTGGTTGTCTCCTACATCATTCATTCTAGCTCCTCTTCCATCCATCCATTCATCCATTAGTTTTATTAAGACAGGATCTCAGTCTGTAGTAAAGAGTAGCCTGAAACTCATTATCAACCAAGATGGCCTTGAACTCAAAACATTCCTCTTGCCTTGACTCCCAAGTGCTGGATTTACAGGCATAAGCCACTACTTCTGACTTTTATCATTGTTTTTTATTTAATTTTCAAGTAATATATAGTAATTGTACGTAATCGTGGGATACAGTGTGATACATTAATAAGATTCTAGATTATGTAAATGAGTGGGTTGGGGTAATTAGCATGCCCATCACCTCGGCCGATCACCACTTCTTTGTGCTGCAGATACTCAGCACTTTACTAGCTGTGTTGAGATAGAAATTCTGATTATCCTACTGTGCTGCAGGACATTAGGATTCTTCCTGCTAGCCATCCACCCCACGGAGCCATCACCATCCACCTACCTGCTCAAGCTAGGAGCCTGTGAACCGTCTTTGCACTCAGTTCTTTCTCCTACCCCCCTCAGTGTAACCAAGCATCATGTCGCCTGTTTTCTTTACCTGATGCAATGGCTGACACGTGTCTTGCAAAGCTCATGTGCTTGATCCCTGGTGCAGCAGGGCTGAGAGATGGGGGTCTAACAAGAGGTGGTTAGGTCACTAGGACGCTGTCTCAGGATAGATTGGGGTTGTAGGTTAATTAGCCCAACAGTGACCATGCTTCCCTGTCTCTCTGTCTTCCACCAGGGGATGATGCAGCAGGATGACCTTCACCAAGGGCCAAACACTCATCCTCTTTAACTCTGAGTGACCAAAAAAGTTCTATATAAACTAGCCAGTCTCAGGTGTTCTGTTATAGCAACAGAGGTACAGAGTCATGTGACTTCCCGTGACCTCAGTCCTAGCTGGAGCCCTCAACCTCTCTCTTCTGAACTTACTGCAGCATAGAGACGTCTCAGGCACCACCACTGCCGACTGGCCAATGCAAGCCAAGCTCCTATAGATGCCACACCTGGCCTGACCTCCCAACACTTCCCTCCGCCCCGCCTTGAAATCTTACTTCCTTTCAGCTGTCTCTGGTCTTCCTGTCACCTGTCTGCCCATGATTCCACTTCCTGCTTCCTGAATGCTGATGTCTCCCCTCAGCTGTGATCCCATCTTTTCTCTCGCAGGGTGAGATGCCCTTCCCCTGATCTCTGCCATCTTCAGGGACTACCTCTGAATTGCTCTTCTCTTGTTTGCTGGTTTTTGTTGTTTTATTTTTGCATGGGCCTTGAATTTATCATCGTCCTGCCTCAGACACCCAAATTCTGGGATGAAAGGTATGTGCCATGTACCAGTCAAATTATTCTTTGATTTTTAAAGATGATATTTATCTGTGTCACTCAAGGGGGTATGTGTGTACCATAGCATGTGTGTTGAAGATAGAGGACAACTTGTGAGTCTCGCGCTCAGGTCGTCTGGCTTGGCAGTAAGTGCCTGACTGAGCCATTTCGCCAGCCCGCTCTTTGATCTTACACTATCTGTTTCTCCATTTGTTTCTTCCAGTGAATGGGAGCTACTTGGGGCAGAGGTGGTGATTTCTACCCTCTCTGAGTCACCATTCCCTAGTCTTGACCACTTCACAAAAAAGAATTTCAGGCAGGGGTGAGGACCAGAATCAAAATCCAGCCCTGAAGAGTCTGTCTGTGACCCCAGAGGAGTCAGAAACATGGCCACCTGAAAACAGGGACATGATTTCCCATCTTACAGGAACCGGGGTGCTGTTAAAACATCCCCCCCCCCCTCCTAAAGCAAAGTGCAGAGGGTGGGAACACTCACGTTACCTTCTCAAATCCAGCCCCAATTATCCTTCTCAGTCTCTAAAAGCAAATGGATTTGAGACACTGCTAAACCCAGCCTGCGGATCAGCTCTCCCTCAGGATGCAAAGCCGCCCAAAGTCGTCAATAGTCTCCCTGGATACACATGTACAAGCCCTACCTCAGCCTACTCACGGTTCCCCCAGTGGCCACCCTCCTGCATGGTGCAGACACACAATACCAAATGGGCTTAATTTAGTGACAACATGATGGCTTGTCCCCCTCCCATCTTGACTCTTGGCTTGACACTCCCAGACTGCTCTGGTCCCCTGTAGCCACAGTACTGAAGAAGCCTTTGCTACACAGTCATAGCTGGCTCTCCCTGTCTGTTCATTCCACATCTGCGGGTCACCAGCTACTAACAAAAAGCATGCAGGATGGAAACTGCATGTTCAGTGGACATACAAAATGCCTGGGAAGCGTGGCAGCTGCTTATATAGCGTGTCCATTGTATCAAGACCGACTGTCATCTACAGTGAGTGTAGTAGCACACGCTTGTAACCCACAGACACGTGAGGCTAAGGCAAGGGGATCGTGCCTTCAACCTAGGCTACACAGCAAGACTGTATTCCAAGGGAAAAAAAATCACCTAGAGATAATTGAAGTATACAGGAGGTGTGTGTAGGTTCTATACAAACACTACATAGTCTTACAGAAAAGGGACAGACCCGTGTAGATTGTGACATCTATGGGGCACCTGCAATGAGGCCTCAGTAGAAGCCCCAGAGCACAGGCACAACTGTACTATCAGACCCTTAAAGGCCCTGTGACTCAGTGTTGCTAACCCAGCTGATACCGTGCTTCTGGTCTGGACAACACATACCTGATGCTCTGATATGGAGGGCGTGCTCCTGACCACAAGCCTCCTACAGGCTGTATCTCAGGAGGCAGTTTGCCATTATGAGCGATGGCAAGAGTGTTATCCCAGATGTGCCACTTAGCAGATGTGTGACTTTGGGCAAATTTCCTTTTTGAAAGTCCATTCTCCTCTGTCATATGGAGTGACCACAGCGCCTGACTTGCAGGACTGCTTTAGGGCATCAACGGGTTAAGAAAAAGTACTGGGCAGAGACACACACACAGAGGCAGGCAGATCTCTCTGAGTTCGAGGCCAGGCTAGTCTACAAGAGCAAGTTCCAGGACAGCCTAGGCTACTCTGTCTCAAAAAAAAAAAAGGAAGGAAGGAAGGAAGGAAGGAAGGAAGGAAGGAAGGAAGGAAGGAAGGAAGAAGAGAAGGGGAAAAAAGAAAGAAAAGAAAGTGCTGGGAGGGGGCAAGATGGCAGCAGGGAAAGCCAGCAATATTTCTGTGTGCAGGCTGGCTGTCAGCTGCACACAACCCTGACAAGGAACTGTTTTACAACAGGAAATAGGAGCTGGCAAAGGGAGCCAGCCAGCTCCACCCCAAGGGCAATACTCACTCCAAACCCCCTCCCCCACAAGCCGGGCCTCTGTTCCCAAGGAACAGATGTTGGTGAAGCTCAGGAAATCCTCTTGTCATAAAACCCAGCTTTCCTGCAAGGCCACCCTCACAGTGTTATCCACAGCACTTTGAGGCTGTGACCGGCACAAACTCTGCATCCCAGCAGCCACATTGCCTGCTTGGCTAGTAGGAAATGTATTTGAGCTAACTCAAAGATAAGAAGTGTCTCACACTTAAAAATAGCCCCCTCTATACAAATAAAAACAGGGATAGCACGGCAGAGAGGTCTGGGGCTTCTCTCTCTGACCCTAGGAAAAAAATCAAAGGTGTTTTTGCCGAAGAGTGGCTGCAGCTGGGCGATGGCGCCCTGTGGCAGGAAGTGTGTCGGTATGTGACAGTTTCCTGGGCCATGTGTTGTAACCGCTAGGCTACGCTTCTACGGTTACAACCCCAGGAATCATGAGAAACACCAGCTGCAGTCCTTAAGAATGCCTCAAGAGGTAATCAGTGACCCCAAAAACCGGGCAGGAAAAGTCTACTTAGCTTAGGTTCCATGGTGTTAAACGGCAGGCTTAAGCAGGAATGTCACAAGGACGCTGCTTAGAGGGGCTCAGGGACGTTTTGGCTCTCAAAGATGATCGACTCAGAAGGCTCTTCAAGCACAGCCAGTCAGTCGGTTTACAAAACACGAGTCAACTTTCGGTTGCCATTGAGCTTCCTTTAAGCCTCTTGTTTTGCACCGAGCAAGAAAACAACTTCTAATCCCTCAACTGTGTAGTTCCGAGTACACCACAAAGCGCTGCGCGCGACACGCCTTTGCCCCTGCTCTGTGTGGTTGCAGGTTAACCAGGCCTTCAGTTACGAGCCTATGCAACGGCTCCTTCCCTTGGGGCACACATGCTGTGGACCGGCGGGTTCTGCTCTGACTTCTCCGGTGGGGCATAGCTACCTGATGCACGCTTCTTAGGCCCGCCACACAGACAAGCGTTAGGGACTATTCCTTTTAAAGCAGAGTCCATGCTTTTGTGTTTGGAGAGACTTCGTGACACGCCTGAGACTCCACTATCAAAGTCTGTTTGCTTTCAGGAAGAGAGAGTTGTACAGGAAGGTAGATTGGAAGGAAAGAACACCATGATTCAGGTCGGTGCATTTGCAACACAAACATCACACCTGCTAACTAAGGTTTCGTAGAGATGTCAGTCTTGGGCATAAGATACACAGACTCACAAGGCTAAGCAGATGTGCTCTGCAGCTCAGTAATATAAAGGACACCAAGTCACCAGCCTCAGTTCCCGTGAGAGCCCCCTTCTTCCAATCCACTGATTTTCTAAAACACATGGCTATAGAATTTTAGTGCACTAAGGCCCTTTGTAATTTACTTCTACCTCAATTTTTTTGTTTTTTTTGTTTTTTGTTTGTTTGTTTTTACGAGACAGGGTTTCTCTGTATTGTTTTGGAGGCTGTCAGTCCAGCTCGGCCTCTAACTCACAGAGATCCGCCTGCCTCTGCCTCCCGTGCTGGGATTAAAGGCGTGCGCCACCAATCGCCCGGCCATACCTCAATTTTTAATATATATCTTATTCTGAGAAAATGTTAACCCCTGTGTACCAGAATTACAGGAATAAAAATCTCTCTCTCTCGTCTCTCTCTCTGTCTCTCTCTCTCTGTCTCTGTGTGTGTGTGTGTGTGTGTGTGTGTTTCTCTGTGTGTCTCTTTCTGTGTCTGTCTCTCTGTGTGTCTCTGTGTGTCTGTCTCTCTTTCTGTTTCTCTGTCATTGTCTGTGTCTCTGTCTCTTTTTGTCTGTCTCTCTCTTTGTTTCTCTCTGTCTGCCTCTCTGTATATCTCTGTCTGTCTCTCTGTCTCTGTCTCTGTCTGTCTTTCTCTCTGTCTGTCTCTCTTTCTGTTTCTCTGTCTTTGTCTGTGTCTGTCTCTTTCTGTCTGTCTCTCTCTTTGTTTCTCTGTGTGTGTGTCTCCGTCTCTCTGTCTCTCTCTGTATGCATGTCTCTGTCTCTCTCTCTCTGTTTCTCTCTGTGTCTGTCTCTCTCTGTGTCCCTGTCTGTCTCTCTCTGTTTCTCTCTGTGTCTGTCTCTCTCTGTGTCTCTGTCTGTCTCTCTCTGTGTCTGTCTCTCTCTATCCTTCTCTGTGTCTCTGTCTCTGTCTCTCTTTCTCTCTGGTCTCACTATGTAGCCCTGGCAAACCTTGACACCTCCAGTACTGGGACTAAAGCATGTGCCACCACAGCTGGCAGAAATATCCCTGTTGTTCTTAGAAAATAGCTTCCTTTCAATTTTACTCAAATCAGAGAAAAGTTCAGCTGATGTTTTTATTTTCTATTTTGTTTCTGCACATGCAGTGGCCATAGGGGTGACATACAGAGTGATAAAGGAACAATGCCTTCTCAGAATCCTTTATTTTGTGGGGCAGGGGGAGGGCACTTGTGCCGCAGTGGGGGGCAGGGGGGCAGAGAACTTTCAAAAGTTACCTCTCTCTGCCATGTGGGTTCCAGGAGTTGGACTGAGTTCAGCAGGCAAATGCCTTGACCCAGTGACCCATTGTCCTGGCCCTCAGGACACATTTAATTTTTAAAATTGTTTTAAATTGTGCATATGTGTGTCAGTCCACATGTTAGCTCGTGCTCTTAAGTACAGATCCCCCCAGAGGTGGAAGTGCCAGCAAGTGCAGGGGTGCCAGCAACTGTGAGCTGTCTTGAGTGGATGCTGGGAACTGAACTCGGGTCCTCTGCAAGAGCATCAAGTGCACTAACCACAGAGCCACCCAGCCCCCAAACACCTTTCTAACACACTTCCAATTTCAGAAGCCAGAGGGTTGTGCTTGGCATTGTGGCCAAACCAGATGTACTGAACACTTTCCTGGGAACAAAAGAGCAGGGCCCTTGCCCAGGCCCTCACACTCATGTCCTTCCAATCTCCAGCAGGCTGTCATGATTTGCAAATAAATAAGTGAGCTCAAATATTATTAAACTTTTTAATTAAATATAAAAAGAAATGAAGACTTCTGCTGTCCCCCTGCTCTTAGCCACAGCTCCTGCTGGCTGTAGGAAAGAATTTTAATAGGAAAAAAATAAGATAGGATAATTAAATAACTCTAGAGGCAGAAGGGATCCGGCAGAAGCCACTAATAATACCGAGTAATTGTGTCTCTGTGTTCAATGCAAGTGTGACTGAAAAATGACCATCCAGCCATGTAAGCCAGAAATCCAGAAGTTAGCACATCCTGGTCTCTGGAGATGCCCAGGAAGCCCACCTCCTATTGAACACACCCCTCACCAGTCCTGGGGTCCACTCAGAACCTTTGTTCATCTTACACCTTTGAAGACTTCCACAGCGCTTTGGGTCCCCCTTCCTGACTCGTTGCCCCATGGACATATCCTGAGACTGTGCCCATGAGCTTGTCCCATGATTCTCTGTGTTTGTTCCCCCACACCCTTGACGGTGAGGCCTTTGAGAGCCAGCGCTGCCACTCATTTCTCTATCTTCAGTACCTAATGGTCACTTACTAAACAGACACATAACTCACAAAGCCATTTTTATGTTCTGCCCCTTTCCAGAAATGAACAACTGAGAGGGCAAAGGAATATAGTTTGCAGGTACTGGCCTCTCTGTCTCCCTACAGCTGGGCAGCACTAGGCTGGAGAGATAGTCCAGGGGCTAAGAGCATTGCTGCTCTTCCAGAGGACCCAAGTTCAATTCCCAGCACCCACATGGATGCTCACAACCATCTACAACTCTAGCCTAGGGGATCCAACACCCTCTTCTGACCTCCCTGGGTACCAGGCATGCATGTGGTACACAAACATACATGCGGGCAAAATATCTATACATTAAAACAATAAAATCTAAAAACAAATAAACAAAAAAAATTTTTTAAGTTGGGTGAGACAGCGATGAGTAGGTGATGTTTAAGGCCATGTGCAAAGTCAGCTATGAGGGATGCCACCACGCCCAATGGTACCCTGCTAAATGCCAAGAGCCACGAGAGAACAGATACCAAACACCTTTATCAAATTGTCGCAAGTCTCTATGGCAGCAGTTCTCAACCATTATCAGATATCCTGCATAGCAGGCTTTTACATTGCGATTCTTTAACAGTAGTAATATTGTAGTTATGAAGTAGCAATGAAATAATTTTATGTTGGGGGTCATCACAGCGTGAGGAACTGTATTAAAGTATCTCAGCACTAGGGAGGTTGAGAAGCATCGCTCCATAGCAAGGGTGACTTTTTCTCTTTCTACTGAAGAGACCGAAGCAAGGAAAGATTTTTTTTAATGTGTGCAGAGGGGTTGGAGAGATGGTTCATCAGTCATAAGTATTTACTGCTCTTGTAGGGGATCCCAGCACCCATGTCTGGAAGCTCACATCTGTAATTCCAGCTCTAGGGGATCCTATGCCTTAACCTCCATGGGTACCAGCCCTCATGTGCACATACTCATACTCACACACATACACATAACTGTTAAACAATAAGCCTATAGGCCAGATATGGTGACACAAACCTTTAATCCCAGCACTCTGGAGGCAGAGGCAGGTGGATCTCTATGAATTTAAGGCCAGCCTGGTCCACAGAGTGAGTTCCAGGCCAGCCAAGGCTGTCTCAGATGAATAAACATATAAATCTTAAAAATTAAAATCTTCACAGCCAGTGTGTGACACACACAAGTAATCCAAGCACTAAGGAGCCAAAGTGGGGTGACCATAGTTCAAGGAGAACAAGAACTTGTCTGGAACACAGTCCAAGAATAGAATACGGTGAGGAGAATTCTGAGTGCTTGTGAGAAAACAAGACAAGGATTTTGTGACCTCAGTTTCTCCAAAACCACAGAATTGTTCTTGGAATGTGCTTTCATGTGCTTCCCAGGCGTAGCAGAGAGGAATGAGGTCACTTCAGATTATTCATTTGCATCCGGCTATTGTTTTTTGTTTACATGCCTCTATGGAAAAACGTGTTTTTGCCACATGTGACTTGTCCTTGTGGTTGTCCATTTTACTTGTGAGAGTCTTCTTAACCCTCAGAGGATAAACTGTCCGATGCTCTGAATAAACTTGGCTATTGCGTGAGACTTTAGTCCTCCTCATTTTTAGGCTCGGCTCTCCCAGGCTCAAAGGCCTTTAGAGTGTTGAACAGAGAACAAGGAGGGGAAGTAAGAAGAGAAGATGTGCCCAAAGTCAGCCAGCCAGCAAGAGATGAAACGCGTTCAAATCTGAACCCTTCGATCTCTGCATCTTCCCACTGTGTCCTTCAGTCTCTGCTGGCAAGCTTGGCTGTGACACTGTAAACACTGTAGAACCTTTAGAACAGTTTGTTTCGAATAGCCTTAAAGAGCTGTGGCGAGGTTGATGGCCTTAGGGAGAGCTGGACTTATGCCAGGCAGAAGCATTTCCCAAGCTGTGTTCACACCCACTCTGCCCCTACTGCCAGGCTCATCAGAAGCCTCAGGCCACCTCAGATGCAGCCTAAAAGATACGTTCTCCTGCAGTGTGGTAAGAGACAGACAGAGGGACCATCCCCAGGTGCATTGGAAGCTGTCCTAAGACCTGCCAGCCCTGGTGAGGCCTCCCTCTGAACCCCTTCCAATCTTAGAGCTGAGGTCTCTTTCTAGGACTGGATTCCATCTCAGATCCTCTCTAGACCAAGATGGTGCCTCTGGCTTCCAGTGTCTGGGGAAGTGGAGAAGGAAGTGGGGCCATAGCCGAGGGAAACAAACAGACATAGATCCCATGTAACAGGTAAGCCAACTCCCAGAGAGACAGTCTTGGAGGCACTTGGTACTTGGTTGCTGCAGAGGGTCTGCTCTCCTCCCACCCACACATCTAGCATGCTCATGGCCTGCCTAAGTAGACCTGGTGGTCAGCAATGTACCACTGGCTGAATCACAACCATCCTCAAGTTGGTCATGGAAAGATATACTGCCAAAAGCAGCACAGTGTGCCAGAGGTGACCAGATCAGAACGGTAGCGCCTTACCCAGTCATGCCTTTTGTTTGTTTGTTTTTAGAGACAGGGTTTCTCCGTGAAGCTTTGGAGCCTGTCCTGGAACTCTCTCTGTAGACCACAGGCTGGCCTCAAACTCACAAAGATCTGCCTGCCTCTGCCTCCCGAGTGCTGGGATTAAAGGTGTGCACCACCAAAGCCCGGCCCTAACTGTCTTTTGAACCTGAACTTTCAATAGTTTCAATCAAGCATCAGGTAACATGGGGACACATTGTAAGAAGCACTGGCCAACCTGACTGCTGTGCAAACATCAAAGACCCAGATGACCCTGATCAGTCACTCCACGTGGCCTCCTGATGCAATACAGCAGTAACACCAGCAGGTGTGTGAGGCTGTGCAGAAGCTGGCCATGCTGTTCTATTTATTGTGTCAGAGTTGTTTATTTTATGTGTATGTGTATGCACCTGAGTACATGTATGTCTACCATGTGCATACAGGTACTCATGGAAGCCAGGAGAGGGCACTGGATCCCCTGGAAATGGAGTTACATGTAGCTGTGAGCCAACCAAGCAGGGCTTTGGGAACAGACCTCTACAAGAGCAGCAAGTGCACTTAACCACTGAGCCATCCTAACCCACTAATATTATTTTTGATAAATAGAAAAAGTTTGATAAATAGTAAGGCTAAGGTATAGCTTAGCTTAGAGCATATTATTATTATTGTTTTTTGTTTTTTTTTTGGTTTTTTTTTTTTTTGGTTTTTTCGAGACAGGGTTTCTCTGTGTAGTTTTGGAGGCTGTCCTGGCACTCGCTCTGTAGACCAGGCTGGCCTCGAACTCACAGAGATCCGCCTGCCTCTGCCTCCCGAGTGCTGGGATTAAAGGCGTGCGCCACCAACGCCCGGCTTTTTTTTTTTTTTTTGGTTTTTACGAGACAGGGTTTCTCTGTATTGGTTTGGAGGCTGTCGGTCCAGCCCAGCCTCGAACTCACAGAGATCTGCCTGCCTCTGCCTCCCGTGCTGGAATTAAAGGCGTGCGCCACCACTGCCCGGCTTAGAGCATATTCTTAACAGGAGAAAAACCTTGGAATCCATTCCCAAAACCAAAATAACAATAATAATAACAGTAATAATAATAGCAATAATAATGATAAAATTGAAATTATACTGAAGTTGAAAAGATGGCTCAGTGGTTAAGAGAACTTGCTGCTCTTGCAGAAGATGAGATCAGTAACCATCAACAGCCTGTTAAGTCTCACTCCAGGGATCCAACGCCCTCTTCTGGCTTCCATGGGTACTGCATCCACATGTACATACCCACACATTTGTACATAAAATTATTAGATATATTTTAATTACTATGTAACACATTCACGAGCCAGTGACCATTGTGTGTAAACACCATCATCAAGTGCTGTTTGTTGTGTGGAGCTGTCTGTGTTGTGCTTTCATAAAATTGGCAAAAAACGCCGGGCGTTGGTGGCGCATGCCTTTAATCCCAGCACTCGGGAGGCAGAGGCAGGCGGATCTCTGTGAGTTCGAGGCCAGCCTGGTCTACAGAGTGAGTTCCAGGACAGCCTCCAAAACAATACAGAGAAACCCTGTCTCGAAAAAAAACCAATAAATAAATAAATAAATAAATAAATAAATAAAAACTGGCAAAATGACCAACGCTTTGCTTACAGTGACATCTTCACCTGTATTATAAATTACTCTGTAAGGTCACACCTGCTACTCTGCCTCTGTGCAGTACGGAATTTTCAGCCCTGTTATCATCTTGTTTTGTTTGGTTTGGGTTTGGTTGTGAGACAGTCTCGCTATGTTGCCATGACTGGCCTAGAGCTCAGAGAGATCGGCCTGCCTCTACCTCCAGAGGACTCAGAAGGGGGATTAAGAACATGTACCATTGCCCGGGCAGCTCTGTTATAATCATTTTGGGGGGGGGGGGTTCGAGGTAGGGTTTCTCTGTATTGCTTTGGAGGTTGTCCTGGAACTTGCTCTGTAGACCAGGCTGGCCTCGAACTCACAGAGATCTGCCTGCCTCTGCCTTCTGAGTGCTGGGATTAAAGCATGTGCCATCTACTATAATCTTATGGAATCAGTATCATGTACACGGTTGCTTATCAACTGAAAAGCTGTTAAACAGCAAGAATGTATTTATTTCAAATTTCTATAGAGTCAGTTATGTTGTATTGTAACATACACAAAAATAAGAGTTTAAGTGGAGATTTAAAAGACGAATATTGGTAAGGATTATTCAAGTATGTTCTTCCTGTCCCTGTCTATCATTCTCTTAGTGATTCTACAGTCATTTTGGCCTGTACAGGAAGGAAAACCTCCCCGCAGAGATAATGCAGAATGTGTTTGGGAAGTGTAGAAAAATAAGGGAATATCAGAAGGAGGTGGTGATGATGGCTGCTGATAATAACATACTGCTTTTCATTAGCTGGCACCATCGTTAGCCAAAAGGCGGGCCTGTGAGTTCGACAACTGAGGCCATCCTTCATGCTGGGAAACTGCGACCAGAACTTGGAACCACACTGTGCGTTCCTTTTTTGCCAGTTTCTGACGGACTGGGTGGTACCATCTCCTGGGACACAGAGTGGGAAGAACAGGTTGAGAGGGGAGAGGATTTGCTCTGCTTTCTGTGGTGCCCACGAGCTGTTCAGTGTAGGTACCTGCAGGATCTGGTGGCAGGAAAACAATTTGGAAAACGTCAGGGGCTTAGAAGCCAGAGTTGAAGATGTTTGTTTGGGTCTTATCACCTCCATCAGGAGCAGTAAGTACAGAGGGGCGGTGGGGAGGTGAAGAAGGGGACTGAATGAGCCAGACTCACTCATGAGGGGGTTGGGATAGAGGAGAGGGGGTTGGGATAGAGGAGAGGGGTTGGTCTGTGGTCATTAGCTTTCACCGGAGGAAGACAAGCCCAAATGGAGGGAGAGTCCACAACATAATGAACTGACAAATCCCCAGCAAAGAGAGACCCAGGAACTGTCGCCACCTGGAAGAGACCAAATCCAGTAGTTAAATGCCTTCTGGGATTCCCAGATCGGTCCTGAAATGGGGAGTTGGGGAGACACCAGGGCTGCGGTAGCCTCAGTCTCTGAGAGCTTGCCTAGATAGCTGCTGTCAGCCATGGGTCCATGCCCAGTGCCAGAAGAAGAGAGTGAGGGGTGGACGTTAGTGGGAAATGGTATGCTTTATTTTTTTATTTTTTACTTTTTCTTGGGCTTTCAAGACAGTGTTTCTCAGGCGTTGGTGGTGCATGCCTTTAATCCCAGCACTCGGGAGGCAGAGGCAGGCGGATCTCTGTGAGTTCGAGGCCAGCCTGGTCTACAGAGCAAGTTCCAGGACAGCCTCCAAAGCCACACAGAAACCCTGTCTCGAAAAAACCAAAAAAAAAAAAAAAAAAAAAAAAAAAAAGACAGGGTTTCTCTGTGTAGCTTTGTAGATCAGGCAGGCCTTGAACTCAAAGAAATCCTCCTGTTTCTGCCTCCCGACTGCTGGGATTAAAGGCATGCGCCACCACCACCTGGCCTGAAATTGGTGTACTTTAAAATAATAGTAATTTGCCAGATGGTGGCAGCGGCACTCGCCTAAAATTTAGATCCTATCTCAAAAAATTTTTTAAATAAATAAATAACTAATTTATCAAAGCTAATGGTCAGCATTTCAGATTCAAATATTAGGGGAAGCTGGGTGAGGGGCATGTGAGAGTCTTGTGTGCCAATTTTACCTTTCTGTGAGCCCAATATTATGTCAATATGGAAAAGTAAGTGGGGCATGCTGCATTCTTGAGAAAAGGCAGGACAGTGAGTTCTGGGCCAACCTGGGCTATGGATTGGCTCTGTCTCGAAAGGGTTGTAGAAGTGCTTTCACAGTGAAGTGATTGCCTTGTCTATGCCAAAGCCTTTTAATAAAGGTGCTCAGCATATTCAGGAAGTTACCAAGGGCCGGAAAGATGACTCAGTGGTCAGAGCACTGACTGCTTCCTGAGGAAGCAGTGTTCAATTCTCAGCATCCACATGGCAGTTCACAACTGTTTATAACTACATTTCTGGGGATCTTTATTTGGTTTTGGTTTTGGTTTGTTTTTTGTTTTTTCCAAGACAGGGTTTCTCTGTGGCTTTGGAGGCTGTCCTGGAACTCGCTCTGTAGACCAGGCTGGCCTCAAACTCAGAGATCTGCCTGCCTCTGCCTCCTGAGTGCTGGGATTAAAGGCATGTACCACCAACGCCAGGCTGTTTCTGGGGATCTTAGACCTTCCTCTTCCCTTGTTGGCAACTGCATGCATGTGGTACACGTACGTTTATTCAGGCAAACATTCATGTATACAGAATAAAAATGAATCTTTTTTTTTTTTTTTAGAGAAAACGAAATATGCCATCTTGCAGCCTCAGCTGCTTCATCCTTCCCCATTGGCTAGGATTCCAAGGCCACGGCTATTGCTGGTCAGAGTAAGGAAGAGGAAAGGGAAGTGAGAGCAGAGGGCCAAGCCCGCTTTCCTGTGCCGTCTGCAGCTGGAGAGCTCTGAGCCCTGGGTATCTCTTGAGCACCTTGGAGGAAGTCACTCTTATTGTCTGCCGAAGATGCCAGAATGATACAGTCTGGGCCGGCTTCACACCATCTGTTTGTGCCCTCGGAAGTTTTAAAATGATCTCAGTGTTTACAGATCTGAATTTCCCGTGTCACACTTGTAGGGAAAAACACCCAAGAGGCTTCCAGGCCCAGCAAGACTGTTCATGCAGGAGAGAGAGCCTTGGCTAGGATGCAGGTTAAGTCGTGCAAGGCGGTGCTGAGTGAGGGCACTGTTGTCATTCTGGTTGCCAGGGAGGGGTTCAAGCTTGCAGCTCTCAGATCTGCCTCCGCCAAACTGGAGTGTCCTGAAGTCAAGGCAGATGCTCTGACTTAGCATGCGTCATGCTCATAGGTGAATTTTCCCACCAAGAAAGCAGATGTTTCTACATTGACATTCTCAGCAGGGCTGGAGAGATGGTTAAGGCACTGGCTGCTCTTGCAAAGGACCCAAGTTCAGTTCCAAGTACCCACATGGCAGCCCACAACTGCTGGTAACTCCAGTTCCAGGGGATCCAATGCCATCTCCTGGCCTCCAAGGCCACCAGACATACATGTGGTACATATTTACACATGCAGGCAAAACATGCAAACACATGAAACAAAGATAAATAAATCTTTTGTTTCCGAGACAGGGCTTCTCTGTGGCTTTGGAGGCTGTCCTGGAATTAGCTCTTGTAGATCAGGCTGGTCTCAAGCTCACAGAGATCTGCCTGCCTCTGCCTTCTGAGTGCTGGGACTAAAGGCGTGTACCACCACCACCCAGCCAAATAAATCTTTGAAAAGAAAAAAATCCTGGGCTGGAGAGATGACCCAGAAGGTAATGGCCTAAATTCGATTCCTAGAATCCACTCCACAAAGTTCTCCTCTGGCCTCCACCATCTGTGCCATACATCTCTCTCTCTCTCTCTCTCTCTCTCTCTCTCTCTCTCTCTCTCTCTCTCTCTCTCTCTCTCTCTCTCTCTCTCTCTCTCACACACACACACACCTATAAATAAGTAAATGTTTAAGACAATTTTGAAGGTAGAAAATCCCCCTGTAGAAAATGACATCTATACTGTTTCATACCCCAAATCCCACCCCCCACCTGCACATCACCCCACCCCACCCCCTACCCCTCTATTCCCACTCCCCTCATCCCACCCCTGTGATTTGAAGTCAGGAAAATTCAAACTGACCTACCCAGATCTTCCAAATGACAAGACCGTGCAGTCTCTGCTTTTCTGCCTCTGGCTGGTTATTGGTGACTTAGCCAAGGCCACTTTTCTGTATCACATGCTAACACATAGTCCTCCAGAAGCATTCCAGGACAGCATGCAGTTTGTTCTCTGATCTTCCAAGTCTCTCGTTTCCTTTTATCCTACCTCTTGGGAGGCTGAGGTGAGAGTATTTGCCACAACTTTGAGCTTCCCCCCTCTTCCTCAAGTTACATAGCAAAATCCTGCCTTTAAAAAGAAGTGATTAAAGAAATAAAGTGATTCTAGAGCCAGGAGGTTGGGGGGTCATTATACCATGACCTTTTAATCCCAGCACTCAGGAGACAAAGGAAGGCAGATCTTCGTGGGTTTGAGGTCAGCCTGGTCTGCAGAGAGTTCCAGACTAGCTAGAGCATTACACAGAGAAACCCTGTCTTTAGAAAACAAGCAAACAAAAAGATAATAATAAAATTGAAACATGCCTGTAACTTCCACACTCTGGAGGATCAGCAATAAGGAGGCCAGCATGGGCTACATATAAGACAAAATTATTTCCCCTTTGTAGAATGCCTTAGTAAACCCTTCCATGGGCATGATGGGGTTAAATTGCTTGTGAAACATCTCAAAGTTCAAGACTAGCAGAGCCAGGAGCCAAAAGCCAAGCCCCTGGTGCAGTGCAATGGAGGCTGTGATGAGCTGAGCATTCTCAGTACAGCTTTGTGAATAACGATAAAGTTTCTTTTTTAATTAATTTATTTTTTATGTGCATTGGTGTTTTGCCTGCATGTATGTTTGTGTAAGGGTATCAGATCTTGGAATTATAGACATTTGTTAGCTGCCAAGTGGGTGCTGGGAATTGAACCCAGCTCCTCTGGAAAAGCAGCCAGTGCTCTTAACCACTGAGCCATCTCTCCAACTCCCAAACTATGAAATTTCTTAAGGAGAGGCATTTCTTCATCCCAGTAAAAGCAATGGGAAAGGCTGAGGTGTGGCTCAGTGGTAGACCATTTACCTATTATCCACAGGGCCCCAAGTTCCAGCTTCAACCACACTAACACCCACACCCACAAGAAATGATAAAGCTGATTTTTTATAGATTTTATTTAATTTTATTTCATGTGCTTTGGTTTTATCTGCATTCACATCTGTGTGAGGATGTTGGATCCCCTGGAGCTGTAACTTACAGACAGTTATGAGCTGTCATGTGGGTGCTGGGAATTGAACCTGGGTCCTCTGGAAGAGCAGCCAGTGTTCTTAACCACTAGGCCATCTCTCCAGCTCGATAAAGCTGACTTTTAAGATAGCATGATGATTTACTCTTGTAATCCATCAGCATTCATTGAATGAGGCTGAGGCAGGAATATCACCTTGACTTCAAGGCCAGACTTGACTACATAGTGAACTGAGTTGAGGGTCAGCCTGGGCTACAGTGTGGAGAGCCTGTCTCAGAAGACAAAGGGAGGTACTGGAGAGACTGTTCAGCGGTTAAGAGCACTGGCTGCTCTCACACAGGACCTGGGTTCCATTCGCAGCACCCACGGCAGCTCTTAACTGTAACTTCAGTTTCAGGAGATCTGACACCCTCTTTTGGCCTCCACAGGTACTGCATGCATATAGTACACAGACATACCCATAGGCAAAACACTCATACATAAATTTTGAATTGAAAAAAAAAAAGGTGGGGAGGGGTGCCAGATGGCGGCCTACAGTCGCGGCACTTGGGAGGTGTAAGCAGGAGGACTTGAATTCTATCCTCAGCTAGCAAAATTGGCAACACCCTGGGACCTGAGACCTTGTAAAAACAAACAAACAAAAACAAACCACAAAGCCTAATAAATAAATAAAGTAGATGCTGGTTCCATGTTGATAAATCAAGTTTGACATAATGTAGGGAATTTGGTCAGAACTCTTTTTCTATTTCATAAAAACATGACTTGTCTAAAGGTTTTGAAAATGAGCTGTACTGCAGTACTGTAGTATATTTCTCATGACTTCATTCTCAACACTTCTACTACAGAAGAGCAATATCGATGCTATGACTGCACATTACAAGTAAGAAACTGAGGAACAGACAGGCAAAGTAACTTGTCCAAGGGCGCATAGCTTACTAGAAGCCAGACTGGGATTCAAACTTCAGCCATCACATGCTAGAGAAACATTCCACCCTGAGCCACATTCCCAGCCCTGAAGACATTTTTGCTTACAACAGCTTCAGGGAGGAGAGTAAATGACTAGGCTGTGGCCAAGGAGGCTGCTAAATAGCCTACAGGGTTCAAACAGCTCTTTACGCCTACCCACAGTCAGTGATGTGGGGGCTAAAGAGCCTGGAGCTGAGGAACCGGTGCCCACACGCCTTGCCTTGATCTGGAACCTAGGAGAGTCAGGTGAGCTTGCTCCTCTGGGAATGGAGATATTGCTGCCTGTTCTTGGGCTCCTTCCTTTCAGCTAATTAGCGCATTTACAGAGTGTCTGGGCTCACGGGCTCCTTCTCCATCAGTCTTTCTAAAATGCTGCTCTGACAAGCTGAGTGAACGATTTAGCAAAAAGAGGCTTTCTGCCCATGGCCGTGTTGAAGAGGCCGGCTATAGGGAGGCGTGGGAGAGTGGAGCGTGCTGATGATAAGGCGGGGCTTTTGATCTGGGTCCCACTCCCTGATTACTTTAAAGGTATTGAGGTGTGTGCATGGAGGGGGGGCACTTGTAACAGTCTGCACAGTTGGCAAATCTAAAACGAGACTTAAGTCACATACCTGCCATGAGGAACGGAAGGTCTGCCCCCGCCCCTCCCTACCTATAGGGCCTCTCTCCTGTGAATCAGATGTTTGTTTTTGAATTCCAGCTTTGAAAGGCTGTCCCCATTGTGCCCAGCAGCAGGCACTCTGAACCCCATGGGTCTCCTCACAGAGCAAGCTAAACACAGACGCTTCCAGTGGTAGCCTGGGACACATAGGGTGTGCACAGAAAAGCCATGTTGGGGCCGAGTTGGAGCGCTGGGCAGAACTCTGGAAGGAGTCCCTGCCTGCTCCTTCTTTATCTTCCTAGTGTCAGTCTGGGAGGAGAAACCTTCCCCCGGGGTAAGTCCTGCAATCCACCAAAGACTTTTTATTATTTGAAATGCATAATGGACAGTTTGTTAGTATTCAGGCATCTGTACTGCCCTGCCCTTAGGGTCCTGACAGGACACACCCTCAGCTGCAGCCACTAAGAGCATCACCTGTGCACATTCGCTGCATTCCCTTTTAAAAGGTGGGCCTCGCCTACCTCCCATCTCTCTTCTCTCTCTCTCTCTCTCTCTCTCTCTCTCTCTCTCTCTCTCTCTCTCTCTCTCTCTCTCCCTCTCTCCCTCTCTCCCTCTCTCCCTCTCTCCCTCTCTCCCTCTCCCTCTCTCCCTCTCCCTCTTTTTCTCTTCTACCACTCTTGTCCCCAAGGACCGGCCTCTGCCCACCTCTCCGCCTCCCTCTTCCGCCCCTTCTCTCTCCTCTCCCAATAAACCTCCCATGTGAGTCCGGTCGTAGGGTGTGACTTCTCTTTGTGGCTTTTTTTTATATTACAACACAATTGTCCCATATGAGATGTCCAGGCAAGCTTACCACAAGTACATTTAAATTGTTTGGACCTCAGGTTTTACGAGGGGGTTGGCTCATGATTGAATATAGTGCTTTGCAGAGGTTTGACAAGAGCTCTAGCACCAAGCAACAGTCCCAGCCCTAAGAACAACTGTGGGATACACTGGAGTGCCCAGGGCAGATTTGCCATGAAGCTGTTAAATACCAAGTTCAGACCATGCACTGCATGGCCATTCAGAGGCACGTGCAGAGGCCCAGCCTCGGGTTCATATGACCATCTATCAATTCTTTATTGGTGGGATTGTTAAAAAACTATGTGTTTGAATGTTTTGCCTGAATAGACATCTGTGCACCATGTACCTGGTACCCATGAAGTCAAAAGAGGGCATCAGCTCCCCTGGAATTGGAATTATGGGTGGCTGTGAGCCACCATGTGCATGCTGGGAATCAAACCGGAATCTCCACAAGAATAGCAAGTACTCTCTACACCACTGAGTCCTCTCTCTAGCCCCTGGAGCCTGTCCAAGAACTCACTCTGTAGACCAGGCTGGCCCCAAACTCACAGAGATGCACCTGCCTCTGCCTCCCGGGTGCTAGGATTAAAGGGGAGCAGCACCCCCACCCAGAGGGATTCTTAATAGCTTAAGATGGATGTCTCTTTTCTCCCGCTTCCTAGCTGTCCATCTGTCGAGCAGTCCTCCTCGGCAATGATGCTCTAACCAAGCACCTGGGGCCGACAAACTGTGGACAGAACCCGCTGACAGTGAGGTGCTTTGTGCTCTTACTGTGGCCATGGACAGGCATCTGATGCAGAGGCTGACCAAGCAGAAGACACTGAAGTCATGTGCCAAACACGTGTGGACACATGTCCACAGCCCTGGACCTGAGCACTCTCACAGCACACAGATCCTTCTGTGAAGACAATAACGAGAAAAGCAGCGGCTGTTCTTATTGTGGATATTGTGGACTCATCCGTGAGTCCAAGTCAGAAGCCAAAGGAAACAGCAGATCGTTCTGGCCGTGACAAAGCTGGTTACGCACTGGGGGATGGTGAGTGGCCAGCGTGGCAGGCACCCACTCACTGCACAGGGCTGCAGCTCAGTCCTACCTGCCTGGGTACACAGCGCCCCCTCAGAATGACATACTTCTGCTTCCAGCCCCAGAGTGCTTCTATCTCAGTCACACAAGTTCTATCTTTATCATAACTAATCCAGATGGGTTGCTATGGGGATTTGTTTTGTTTTGTTGACACACCTGATTTTCAGGCATCCCAGGCCAGCCTCAAACTGGCTAAGGCTGACACTGAATTCCTCATTCTCTTTTTGTTGTTGTTTGGTTGTGGTTTTTTGTTTTGTTTTTTAGGGTGTTTGTTTTGCTTTTGTTTTTAAGACATGATTTCACTGTGTGGCCCTGGCTGGCTTGGAACTACCTACATAGATCAAACTGGTCTTGAGGTTACAGAAGTCTTCTTGCCTCTGCCTCCAGAGTGCTTGATTAAAAGTTGTTGGACACCTTGCCTGGCTGACCCCTGGTCCTCTTGCCTCTGATTCCCAAGCACTAGGGTTACACCCATTAGCCATCACGCCAGGCTTTGCTTTCCTAGATCATCTTTTGGTGTGCTTCAACTTACCAAGGGAATACAGCGTATAGGTTAGTTCAGTGAACTCTGCTTCACTTTCCATAGTATGTTAACTTTCACCAGAATCTTCCTTCATGTTGTTCATCCTCTCATTAATCTGGTGATGGGCAACTAAAATGAAACGTTGGCCAGGGATGGTGGTGCATGCCTGTAATCCCAGCACTTGGGAAGTGGAGTCAGGAGGATTAGGAGTTACACAGAGACCAGCCTGGGTTATGTGAGACTCCAAAAAAGGAACAACAGCAACAACAAAACAACCCAAAATCAACACAAATGAATCATGACTCCAGTTCTGCACACCCACCAGCAATTAGAGTCTCGATGCTTCGATATTATCTCGGAACCCTATGGCAGCTCTAAGAGAATGTGTGTGGCTGGACTGGTTAGTTTTATGTCAGCTTGACACAGGCCAAGGTCATCTGGAGTGAGGAAAACTCAGTTGAGAAAATACCCCCATCAGATTGCCCTATAGGCCAGCCTTTGGAGGGTTTTCTTGATTAATGATTGATGGGGGAAGACCTAGCTCACTGTGGGTTGGGCCATCCCTGGGCTGGAGGTCCTGGGTTCTATAAGAAAACAGGCTGAGCAAGCTATGGGGAGCAGGCTAGTGAGCACTTTTTCTCCATGTCAGGTCCTGCCTCCAGGTTCCTGCCCCAACTTCCCTCAGTGATGGTGTGACCAGAGAGTTGTAAACTGAAATAATTCCTTTTCCCTACAAGTAGGTTTGATCATGGTGTTGTATCCAAGCAACTGAACACGTACTAAGGCAGACTACTTTTATTAATGCCAATCAATCTTAAAACAACAGATTGAATTGAAACCCATTCTTGTGTGGCAAATCCCTTTAATCCCAGCACTTGGGAGGCAGAGGCAGTCGAATCTCTGTGAATTTGAGGTCAGCCTGGTCTACAGAGTGAGTTCCAGGACAGCCAGGACTACTCTGAGAAACCCTGTCTCAAAAAAAAAAAAAAAAAAACACCCATTCTTGTAAAACTATATCTCAGACTTTTGGAGAACTTAAGACATATGGAATTTTACTGCATTTGTTGAACAACAAACAGAGCTCATGAATAACTGATTTTTATAAGTTCCTTTGTTGAGTACGAACCCAAAATTAAGGGAATTAGTGCCTTGCAAAAGTATTCTTATGGGATCACAGACTCACTGAATCAACCAGGTAGGCAACAATATGGTCTCACTGTGCAGCCCTGGCTGTCCTGGGAGTTGCTCTGTGGACAGGGCTAGCCTCCAACTCACAGAGATCATCCCGCACAAGACTGAATCTTTATTGCACTCTATTTGGGGGAGAAAAAAAATTTTTTTTTTTTTTTTGGTTTTTCGAGACAGGGTTTATCTGTGGCTTTGGAGGCCATCCTGGAACTTGCTTGGTAGTCCAGGCTGGTCTCGAATTTACAGAGATCCGACTGCCTCTGCCTCCCGAGTGCTGGGATTAAAGGCGTGCGCCACCAACGCCCGGCTTAAAAAAAAAAAAAGGCTTTTTACACTATGTGAAAAATAGAACTCTGACATTTTGATTTTTTTTTCTTTCTGCTAAGGCCCTTTCTCTGCATTTTATCCACTCCCTCCAACCAAACTTTGCCATTTTTCATCCTGCCCAAAATTGCCACTTCTATACTGAAAACACCAAGGAACACTACCCAACCCAGAGAAGGAGAAAGAAACGTCTACATCCAAAGGTTGAGCAAGAAAACCGCCTGGCAGGCAGCGTCTGGCCTTATCAACCACAGGATTTCGGTGTCATGAAAACTCCACAAATGCCCGCACAGGCTCACGTGCCTCCTCCCACCCTCTCGCTCCTCGGGAACTCCTGGCGCTAACTTCCCAAGGCACAGAACATCTGGCATTCCATGAGTTTTAACCCAGAACTTCTCTGAGGTCCATCGTCCCAGCGCTGGAACTGGTTTCTGGCTCCCAGGTGCAAACACGGCCCTGGCTACCCCGGGTCTGGAAAAGCAGGCTGTAAAGGCAAGTTTGCAAATACTGGAAAAGAAAGCAAGTCATGAGGGGGTGTGTGCGGGCTCTTCCATCTCCTTTCAAAAACACTTAGCCAGAATAAGTCACCCACCCACCCCGAATACCTTCTATTGCAATCCTTCCTGCAGTCCCGGCCTCTTTAAAACCTGCATTTTTCTCCCTGGGAGAAAGCATTAGTTAATGATTGCCAGCCGACTTCTCTGGCTGGCAGGCCATGTGACCTAGACACGTGACTCGGAGCTGGCTGGGATGGTTTCTCCTGTTTGAATAAGCTCCGGCTTATTATTGCAGTTACAAGTCTGTGGAAGCTGCGGATGCAACGTGATTCCCTGGCGGTTACACAACGCTGGAGAGCCGTGCTCGCCACTGCCAGCCGCTCCAGGGCTGACTTCTGAAGAAACAGAAAACAAACAGGTCTTGGTGTTTTCCAAAGTAAGAGTCTGTTTTCCCCTTTGGAAAAATGCATCTTGGCAAAAGGCAAGGCCCAGCCTGGCCAAATTGTTCTAGTCCTTTTGGAGCAAGAAAGATAAACTGTGCAACAGGCGAAGAAGAGAGCAGATCGGGGTCGATTTTACCACACTCTCCTCTCTCCCTGGAAACTCCTCAAAATATGGGCTTTTCACGTTTATAAAAAGTCTCCACTGCCGGGCAGTGGTGGCGCACCCCTTTAATTCCAGCACTCCTAGGAGCACAGGCAGACAGAGCTTTGTGAGAGTTTGAGGCCAGCCAAGGCTACATAGCAAATTCTCAGCCAACCAATGCTACACTGTGAGAACCTGTCCTCTGACCCCCTTCCCAGCAAAGTACGGGAGGTTGAGGTTCTTCTGATTTAGCAGTGAAGAGTGTTTGACTTCCGAATGTGCGAGGTCCTGGGTTCAACCCCCAGAACCAAAAACAAAACAAACCCTACAATTATTTTTTAAATTTAAACTGCAAATAACAAGTTTCTTTGTGGTTCCTCCCTCCTTTAATTTGTCAAATATTAATAGTTGAATTTTTATTTTCAGCATATCCTTTAAAGGATCGAATAGATGGTCTCTAAAAGGGAAAGCTGGAAGAACCTTCTCAGGTTAAATTATATGCATGCATGTGTGTTATGGTGAAAGCTTCACCCCAGCCCCTGGTATCCATATACCCAGAGAGTCTGGAGTGTTCTGATGGAAGTTCCACTCAAGCCCCCTCCCCATCTCTCTCCAAACCCTGCTGTATCTCAGAAAGCCTGCCACATGGTGACCCTTCCCCCAGAGATGCTCAAGACCACTCCCACGGGGTATATAAGCTGTTCCCCAGAGAACAGATTTTTCTTTTTCTTTTTTTTTAATTTATGTGCATTGGTGTTTTTTCATGGATGTCAGGTCCCCTGGAACTGGAGCTACAGACAGTGTGGGCTGCCTGCCATGTGGGTGCTGGGAATCGAACCCAGGTCTTCTGGAAGAGCAGTCAATGCTCTAAAGCACTGAGCCATCTATCTCCTCAGCCCCTCAGGTTTTTCTGGTCTCCCTTTCCTGTCTCCTCTCTGGGTTACTGGAAGGCCATCCAGGAGTGTTGTATTAATTAAACATGGACTTTTTTCTAGTTTATTTTGATTTGGTCTGATTTGGATTGCTGCATCAGTGGAGAGGTTTATCGGGGTATAGAAACTTTTCAATATGTATGAAAATATGTGCAGGTTTGCCTCTAGGGGGTCTCTCCTCCCCTAAGATGTCATCTTTACTGTGTGCTTGCTAGAACTGTCCAAATCCCATGCCAATGGAAACCTGCAATGTTTACCTTTCTCCTGCCTCTGCTGTGGTGACATTTACAAGAGAGAGGTGGGGAAAAAAAAAACCCACATGGGCTATCTCTAGCCTGGACTGAGCAAGAGATGAGACTGCAGAGGGAGGTCCCATAGTTGTCCCTTCCTGTGAGGAGGCTCTTCTCCAGGCCAGGCCAAGAAGTTCTCAGTGGTGGAGTCAGTCATTCATTCTACAACCTGCTAGGTGTTCTTGCAGAGGCCTGGGAGGCAGGAGTGAACAGGCCAGAGACAGACAGACAGACAGACAGAGCCTTGTCCCCCTGAGGCTTTACTCCAGTCATCTCCAGAGCCCAGCCTAGCCTGGCATTGCCAGGGATCCTGCTTTACTGCCAGCTGACTCAGTGTGTGGTGGTTTGAACAAGAATGTCCCCCACAGGTTCCCGTATTTGTCATGGACTGTTTGGGAAGTGCAGCCTTGATGCAGTATGTCACTCTTGAGCGGGCTTTCAGGAACCTATTTCCCATACTGGGTTGTGTCACTCAGCCTTAATACAAGCAGAGGTGCTTAGTCCTACCTCGACTGGACATGCCATGCTTTGTTGACATCCATGGGAGGCCTGCCCCTTTCTGGACAGAAACAGAGGAGGAGGGAATTGGAAGAGGGGGAGCGGACATGAGGAGAAGGGGAAACTGCAGTCGGGATGTAAAATAAATGAAAATAAATAAATAAAAAGTCCATGTCCCATTTCCAGTTCTCTCTCCCTGCTTTGTGCTGTGGTTGAGGATGTGAGCCTCAGGTCCTGTTCATGTAGCCACACCTCTGTTCTTATCCCTCTGGAACCCTACGGCCAAAACAACTTTTTCTTCTATAGTATTTTACCACAGCAACAGAAAACTAATACACACGAGAAACAAGAATCCAATCTTTGCTGGAAGACCAACAGGTGTGACTTTGTTTCTTAGGGACCCTTCAAGCCAGCCTCAAGGGGCTCTCACTCACTCTGACTTACAAGGGTCTGGTTGCTATTGGCAGCTGGACTGAAAGAAGAACAGGTCTACTGTAGAGTGAACGTGCTCCAAACTTGAGAGTCCAATGGAGTATCCTCATCCCTGCCTCTCCACAGCCAACCTGCAAGGCACCTTCGGAGCTGGCCTACCCAAAGTTCCTAGGAATCAGGTGTGTTTGAGGTGATGCCAACACCACTTATACTTACTGCTGAGGGGTGTGTGCTATGTATGGAGGCTTCCTTGATTTCACAGGACTGAACACCAACCTTCGGGAGACACATTCTCACAGTCAAACTACAGTAGAGCATATACTCAAAGTAAACAGTCTCAAGCAAATGTCTGGACCCTCATGATCTTTGCATTATTCACATGATTTCAATCCTCCATCCATCCATGAGTGGCGAAACAAGGTGTGGTTTGTAAATGCAATGGACTAATAAACAAACTATCCAACCTTGTGGTGATTAGAGTGAGAATAGGCTCAGATATTTGAATGCGTGGTCCACAGCTGGGGTGCTGTTTGGGAAGGTGTTGCAGGGGCTGCCGGAGGAGGTATGTGTCACTGAGGGTGGACTTTCTGAGTTTGTAGGCTCGCCCTGCTTACCCAGTTCCCTCTCTCTGCTTCCCGCTTATAGTTGAAGGCCTCTCAGCTTTCTGCTCCCACCACCACGCACGCCACCTGCTGCCATGCCTACTCACCATGATGGACTCTTGTTTTTCTGGAACCATAAACAAAAAACAAAAACAAAGAACAAACAAAAAACCCATCTCTTTCTTCCATAAGTTGCCTTTGGTTTCAGTTTTTTAGCACAGTAACAGAAAGGTAACTAATACAAGCCTCAAGAAGGAAGGAAATTCTGGCATAGCCTAGAAGAACCTGGAAGATACTATGCTAAGTGAATTGAACCAATCACTACTCCATGGTTATTATAAAATTCTCCTTCTAGGGGGTGGCCTAGAGGAGTTCAGTCCATCAGATAGAAGCGGAATGTGGTTCCTGAGGGCTTAAGGAGGGGAAAACAAGGAGAGAGAAGTTGGTGCTTGGTAAGTAGGAAGCTTCCTTCATGGGAAAGATGAAAAGGCCCTGGAGATCATGTGAATACAGTGGTCAGAGAATAGTGTACATGTCCTTGATGCCACTCAACTGCTCACATAAAATATTAACATGCTAAGTTTTATACTGTCACTATCCCATCATGATAAAAGATGGGTAGAATTACTAGCCTCTGGTACCCTCAAACAGCCTGTTTAGGAATGATGGGTTCTTTGATCCCATGATGCCATCTTCTTGTTCTTTTGCTTCGGTGGGTGCATCCTCCACAGCCCTCAGCCTTTGGACCATTGGACAGATTTGCTAGCAAGAAAAACAGGGGTGTATAAGAGAGAAGATACAAGATCAACCCCAACTATGAACTGACTCTGCTGCCACCATCAGGAAGGGGCCATCGGGTTGAGATGAACTGGTTTTGGCCTGCACGTGTATGGTTTCCCTCACCTTTTCATGGATTTTACAGAAGGTCATGGAAAATTCCTGAAGGAGAGTGACATGGGGGTTGGGCTGGAAGAATGTGAGGAAGAGTCAAGGAAGCATAGGAGGAAAGGTAAGACAGCAAGCCTCAAATGTTCCATAGGCCTCCTTGGAAGACGTTAAATTAGGGGTTAGGATGGCCTCAGAGTACTGTCCATCTTAATGGCTGTCAGTCTCCATGGCTCATTCGTACACTAGAAAGCAAGTCAGATACGGGAGGCTTCTATCGTTACTATCCAACACATCTATCCCCAGCTTCTGCCTTCCTCAGGGGTCAGCTTGGCACACATACTGACACACCTGGGAAGGGGGAACCTCGACTGAGGAGTTGCCTCCATTAGATGGCCCTGTGGGCATGTCTGTGCGGCATTTTTAATGATTGCTGTTTAACATAGGAGGGCCCAGCTCGCTGTGTCACCCCTAGGCAGCTGGGCCTGGTTCACATAGCTAAACAAGCTAGAGGAAGAAAGCATAGCAGTGCTCCTCCATAGTCTCTGCTTCAGATCTTGCCTTCAGGTTCCTGCCCTGGCTTCCCTCCATTGTTGTGGAATATTCGTTTACATGTGTGAAGATATGTCACTGTGATTGGTTTAATGAAAAGCTAAATGGCCAATATCCAGGTAGGACACTGGGAAGAAGGGTGACCCCAAGAGTCATCAGACAGACATGAAAGAAGCAGGAATGCACTTGGACAAGACAGAGTAAAGGAAATAAAGCCACGAGAAAGAAAGTAAATGAATAGAAATGGGTTAATTTAAGTTATAAGAGCTAGTTAGGAACAAGCCTGAGCTATTGACTAAGCTTTCATGATTAATAAGAAGTCTCCATGTGGTTATTTGGGAGCTGGCAGGTGGAACAGAAAAGCCTAACTGTACTCCATAGTAGACTCTAACCTCTAAGCCAGTGATTCTCAGCCTTGCTAACGCCGCCACACTTTAATACAGCTCCTCATGTTGTGGTGACCCCAACCATAAAATTATTTTTGTTGCTACTTCCGAACTAATTTTGCTACTGTTATGAATGGTAATGTAAATATCTGTGTTTTCCGATGGTCTTAATTGTGACCCACAGGTTGAAATCGACTGCTCAAAGTGAAACCAGCCCTTTTCTTCCCAGGTGGCTTTCAGTCATGGTGTTTGTCCCAGTCACGGAAAGCAGATAGGACACCAGGTCAAAGCTCTGCTGACGCTGAGCTCACAGTGAAGAGACCTAACGGATGACAAAGCCATAAACAGAGCAGCATCTAAGCCCTGGCTACCATGGTGTCCAGAAGCATGCTCTTGTAACTCCATGCTTGGCCGGTGACAAGTGGATCCCATGCTGGCTCTATTGTTATGATGATGCTGGAACACATCCCCACATTGGGAGCTTCTGGTGTAAAGCGCACATTTATACTTAGGCTAGTTCAAGCCATGGCTTTCTAGAAATTTCCAGGCTGCCTATGACACCCTTTGAAGAGCTCACCATGGACAGGCTATTCTGCCTTAACTATAAAGCTTTCCCGAGTTTCCATCTCTTGGGATGTGCAGGGCTAGTGGCATGAGCAACCAATACAAGCCCGGCTTGTGGCACTCAGCCCCACTTGTAAGTGCACGTCCACAACTGAGTGTAAAAGACTGGGCTGAATGACAACAGGAAGGAGAAAACTGGGAATTGGGCTGGGCCAAGCCAT